CCCACAGCAGCAGAGGGACACTTTTTTGACACAGCGTCCATCTCACTGAGACGTCTTGTGTTTAACGACTTCCCTTATCTGTTTGCCTCAGAGCTGAGGACAGATGAAAGAATAGAACAGTATTTGATAGGCCCAACTTCTCCACCTTCTCCTCAACCAAACATATTCCTCCTCTTCCTGCTCTCCCTTGCCTTAGGCATACTGGAAACCAGTTTAACTGGTTGTGTCCGTCTTAAGCAAAAAAGAGAGGGAGAAAGAAATCACAGACTGTTTTCAAACTTTATTTGTTATCTGTATTTGGTATAGGTAGTGTCCCACAGGACGTGGGGTTTATTTCTGTAATTGTAAAGACAAAACTTAATAAAGATTAATCACTGAATTGCTAATTGTAGATAAATCCTTCTAGAACTCGTTGCAGCGGGTGTTCTCTTAGTAGTCCGAGAGTTCACAAAGCCATTTTCAAACTTTTATCGTTTGAATCTGGTTTCCTTGAGTCAGAGATGTGAAACAGCTTTGGAAAGAGTCTGAGACCAAATTTCAAATGAATTTAAACAGAATTAATTAAGACATGTTGTGACTGAATTGTGACAGGGACATTTGCACGATATGAGCGATTTGTGTCTCGCTAACCAAAAGTGTTGTATTTCAAAATCCTGTGAGATTCCAACTGAAAATGTACACATTTTACCCCAAACATTCTCAATGTTAATTTCAATAAGCTGCTGCAGGACTGGCATTTCAAATGCAGGCTAAAGAAGTTCAATATCCAAAAAACGTGAAAGTTGCATTTTTATGTTTAGTTTTTATATTCTAGCTTGGTCGGCAATCAAAGGGGTGGTACATTTTTTCTATCGTTTCCTGCTGCTTTTTCTTCTCTGATAAAAAAAAAACCTGCATGCTGGTCCAATACCAGTCCTTTATTTATGGAATAAGACTCCACAGTTCTTCCTGGCTGACTTACAATATAAAAGTAACAATAATAATTATTAATGTTAATCTACAAATAAACTTCGTAAACAACCAATAATAGAAAGTGACTCAAAAACAAAATGTAACAATATTCAAAATTAAAAATAAATAACATCAAGCTTTGTATCTTTATTCTGTTCTTTTTAAAGCCTGCCGCTCCAGAGCCATCCCAGCCACCACGACCTTCCTGCCAGACACAAATCTGAGTTATAGCACTCATTCAGTTTTTTTATCATACTCATAAGCATTAAAAGCATTCCTTCCTGTGGAAGGAAGAACCCATGCTCTGGCTTCCATGCTGCAAAACACACACACACACACACACACACACACACACACACACACACACACACACACACACACACAAATAAAACATTATTGAATAAGGACACAGATGAGTACACTGTGAATACGTACACTCATCCCAGTGTGTGTATGTATGTACACTCTCATGCTCAAAGACGCAAAGTTGCTTCCATATAAGGACAGCCGGTATCTACAGAGAAAAGGCGAGGATGCATGGTACAAATCACAAACTCTATTCTGTTAGCAGAATAATAAGAACAGCTAATTACTGCAGAAAAAAGTAATCTTGATGCAGGAAGATTTATACCATAATTTTTGCATTCATCGCCTTTTGATCTGGATGATTTCTGCTAATCCCTTGTCCTGACAGATGATCTGATTGGTTTGTGTAATCCCAGTTTTCCACCGGATGCGTAAGTGGTACCCAATGTCTTTGAAGGGCAATGCGCAGCTAATAACCACGGCTATAGTCAATGGGTTTGTGTCCACCAGGAGCACAACGGCACGTCTCAAACACGTTCCAGGATTGTGGTGTTGCATATTTAATGCTAGCTGCGGCGAAAACGCACATTTCATGTGTCCATCACATGAAAGGTCGGTGTTGTTGACGTGCAAACAATGCGTCGACATTCCACTTGTTTTTGACTCAGCCGGCATTTCATAGTTGCACCACCATGCTGACTTTACGAGTGGACTTTTTTCTAGTTACGCCTTCAGAACACGTCAAGCTCAGCAGTTGGGAGCTGTGTCAAGCATCCAGCAAATTTCAAAATAAAAGACACATGCAGATTAGGTTTGTTTACTAAAATAATTCATGGGAAAATGCTTCCAAATTCTGTTTTACTCACTCGTGATCTCTATCTCATTTTTTCTGCAATTTTTTGAGAAGGGGGATCCGTGAAAACACAATTTTCTATTGAAGGCGTCCTATCCACTCCATAAACCAAATGTATTTTTAACTATATGTTAACGTAATTGCAAAATACGGCCATTTGTCAGCTGCTCTAAGGTTTACCGATGAACTCTATCGCTCATAATAGCTTATTTTTGCTGGACTAACCACAGAGATTGCCCTCTGTTAGTTACTGCCAAGTCTTTTGTCAGTGAAAAGCTCTTCATTTCTTCATGAACTCCGTGAACTCGTTCCGTTTCCTGCCTCCGCCAGCTCATCTGCTGTTCGTCTCTGGGCTGACCTTAAACTCCAAACTAAGCTAGGGAGTATCGCTGCCTCCTGCCATCTGTTCATAAACTCCTTCAGCCAGGAGGACACACAAGGAATAATATTGTAATATCTGGCAAACGTCAGCCTGCTGCTGGTCTCTGTAAAAGAACATCCAATCATCTCTGCTGGATTTGAACTGTTTAATTTGCTTTAAATTAACTGTTCTTCTCTTTTTCTGGGAAACAATTCATTAATACTGAACGTTTCTTGTTTTACCTTTGCAAAACTCAACATATGCAATAAAAATTAGGTTAACACAGATTTAATAGTAAAAAATATATATATTTGTGCAGTTCTTGGTTATTTTTAATATTTTTGCCCATCTTTTTTTTCTCAGGAGTTTTATGACCACACAAAGACCCTCTGGCAGGATGAAGGTGTGCGGGCATGCTGGGAAAGGTCCAATGAATATCAGCTCATCGACTGCGCGCAGTAGTGAGTCTCTGCTTTGTTCACTTTTTTGAAACCCTTTATGTTTATGTTTATGTTTATGTATTTAGCAGACTCTTTTGTCCAAAGCGACTTACAAGTGATAATCGGCATTTTGCCCTTGAGGCTAACAACAATAGTAACAACAACAAATTGACATCAGTCATGGAGAGGAGGGAACAAGGAGTGGACAGTAGAGAGGGGGGACGGGTGCAGGCAAGGTGCTAGTTAAGAAGATGCTCTCTGAAGAGCAGGGTCTTCAGGAGTTTCTTGAAAATAGAAAAGAAAGCCGCAGTTCTGGTAGTGTTTGTGGAACGATGGATGAGAAAAGTCTGGATTGTCCTGAGTGTGGTGTAGGCACTGCTAGTCGACAATCCTGTGATGACCGGAGCGGCCGGGCCGAGACGTAAGCCTTTGCAAGAGGATTCAGGTAGATGGGAGCCGTACCGTCTCGGACTTTGTATGCTAGTGTTATCAATTTGAATTTGATGCGTGCTGCTAGCGGTAGCCAGTGGAGCTCAATGAACAGAGGGGTGACGTGTGCTCTTTTTGGCTGATTGAAGACCAGACGCGCCGCTGCGTTCTGGACCATTTGAAGAGGTCTCACAGTACAGCCTGGAAGACCAGTTAGAAGTGCATTGCAGTAGTCGATGCGGGAGATGACAGTAGATTGCACCAGGAGCTGGGTGGCATGTTGTGTTAGGTATGGTCTGATCTTTCGTATGTTGTACAGCGCAAAGCGGCATGAACGGGCAACAGAGGCAACATGATCTTTAAAGGTCAGGTGTTCATCAATCACAACACCCAGATTTCGAACTGCCTTTGAAGGAGCCAGAGATAGGAAGTCATTCTGGATTGAGATATTGTGCTGAATGGATGGTTTTGCTGGGATGACAAGCAGTTCAGTTTTAGAGAGGTTGAGTTGGAGATGGTGGGATTTCATCCATTTTGAGATGTCAGAGAGACAGTCTGATATTCGTGCTGAGATAGTGTGGTCGTCCGGTGGAAATGACAGATAGAGCTGGGTGTCGTCTGCATAGCAGTGGTGGGAGAAGCCATGTGATCGAATTATCTCACCCAGTGAGGTGGTGTATATGGCAAAGAGAAGAGGTCCTAGTACAGAGCCCTGGGGGACTCCTGTGGCAAGGTGGTGCACGGTAGAGGACTGTCCAAGCCTAGATACGCTGAATGATCGTCCTGTGAGGTACGATTCAAACCAGGCATGTGCTTTCTCTGTGATGCCCATGCTAGAGAGTGCGGACAAAAGGAAGCCATGGTTGACAGTGTCAAATGCAGCCGATAATTCGAGCAGGATAAGCACTGAGGATTTGGCAGTCGCTCTAGCTTCTTTTAAGGATTCAGTCACTACTAACAGAGCAGTTTCAGTGGAGTGGCCCTTTTTGAACCCAGATTGGTAAGGGTCAAGCAGACAGTTTTGTGAGAGGTATTCTGTGATCTGCTTGAAAGCCACCCTTTACACAACCGTTACAGGTTCAGTCGTGTGGCTGGATCTCCATCCCTGTAGCGTACCGATCACCTTGCACTACTTTAGAACTGTGGGTGCTGCTCTGCTGTTATGAGCCCACCCACTAATGTCGTTCCTCAGTTGTAACTGGAAATCCACCTGAACCATGTAGAGTGGAATAAAGCCACGCTGGATAGGCGCTTGTGGAAAAGGACCATAATGCAACAGGTCCGACTGTTTTGAGAGCTTTGCTGGTTGTTAAGAACATGTTCGATGCCTGAGACACGAGAACGAGGCCATTTCATCACAAATGTTTTGAGGCATTTTGAAACCCTTTTGGAGGATGTCGGCCCCGGTTTGCTGCCAGCAGTTACGGCTGGACCGAGACGCAAGAACTCAAACTTGAAGTGGAGACAGAGGCTTCCCCTTCTTTGTAGGATTTCTCTTTTTCTTTACTGTCATCCTCCACCTCCTTCTTGCCCTCCTCGTCTCAGCAGCCTCAGATTAGATGCTGGGCTGGTTGGCCAGACCGGAAGTGCTCCCCTCCCCCTTCCATGTGCTTATGTAAACGGAGAAGCAGAGAAAAAGAAGGAAGAGCTATTTTTAACCCGGGCAGGCTGCAGAAGGAGAAAGAATGAGTGAATGTGTTTGGAGAGATACAACTTCAGCATTATTGATGAAGGCTGTTAGCAATAAATGGAAACGTCAACACTGGATCAGCATGGGAGTAAGTCAGGTCCACCGCTCACCCCCTCGGCTTTTCACTTCTTTTTTCTCCTTTGAATTAAGGGGAATTACATCATCCTCTTCATGCAATAATAAAAATTTAAAAAAGGAAGAAGAACAAGGGCATTATACTTTGTGCTGTGTGGGTGATGTGAAGAGGAAGCCACTTTTCTGCTCCGTCATGCTCCTTTGTGTTGTTGTTGTTGACTTCAGTAACACATCTTTCATATGGCTGTGAGGGTGTTTTTGCCCTGGGCTTCACGAGGAGTTCGGTTGTTGGCTGTTTACTTCCCAGGTCTGAACAGCGTGACAGGGCTGAGACTCTGGGTGGGTTTTGTCTCCAGAGAACAAGGCCCGTTTGTTAGTTTCTGTTAATTATTAGACAGAAATTCAAAATTTCTTCACATGATGAAATGTTAAAAACACTCCCTCATCACTTGCTATGGCTGTGAAAGGTGACAAAAACTAATCAAAACAACAATATAACGTGTAGAACTCATTTTATGGATTAGACCTTAAACACACATGGGATATATTTATTGTTATGGGAATTGTGTTTTTAATTCTAACATCTTGTCCATGTTTTTTAGAAAGTGGAAACATTTTCTAAATAAACAAATATAAACCAATATGTATTTTTAAATAAATATATTATTGTTTTTGGGAAAGATGTGATAAATAATTATTTATAAACCTCGCCTCCAATAGTGGCATTATAAATCATAAAAACACAAGCTAAACACGTTTGTTACATATTTTATTTAAAGTCATTTTTGTGTTTTTACAAGTTTGGTCATAAACCCTAACCTTAATATATCTGTTATGTGACTTTTAAAGACAAATTGTTAATATTTGGTTCAAGTGTTCTTATTTTATTGCATATTTAAGCCTTACAGCATCAACATCCTTTGTGCAAAAGCTCTTTAAAAGTTTTAGTCAGACACAAATTGGATCTAAGAAGCCAAAACTAAATGCTTTTTCAAAGATCAAATCAAACTTTATTTAAAGATAAATTATTAATGCCAAAAATGTTAGTTTTCATAATTCTTACATTCTTGTCTTATAAAAGTATTTAATGGTTATGTTTTAAAACCGTGTTTAAAACGGGTCCGATTTTTACTGGAGTGATTTAACGTTGTATTTATAGGGTTGATGTTTTGTGTCGTGTTTATTACCTTTTGATTCTTTTCCCAGGATAAAGTTTTACTACGTCTCCCCGTTTCTTACCTAGAATAAAGTCTTTCTTTACCGTTAGGGGAGCTCACTTCAGAGGCGGACATTTTCTTTCTTTCTTTTTTTTTCCAGTTTTTGCTAAATCATTATTTTTAAATATTCCTTGAGTCATTTTTAAATCCGTATTTTGCTGTCACGTTGGTATTCTTAGTTTGTATTTTAAACTTCTTGCTCTCATCCTTTCTCACTTCTCTGATTTCCATTTTTCATTTTCCAGCTCTGTTTTTATTTTTTATTTTTTAACTTTTTTAGATTTTACATGTATTTTTTCACAGCTCGTTCTCTAAATTTTGCAATTTTTCATCCGTTTATTTCAATATAATTGAATATTTGTCAAATTCTTCAGGGCATTTTCTTTCCTCCTTTTAGCTTGTTTTTGTCCTCCATCAAACCCACTCCATTCCCTGCATTGCTCCCTCTGTTTCTCCTCTTCCTCCTCCTCTTCTGTCGCGGTTTCTTTCCCTCCTTCCTTGTCATTCTTTCTTTTTTCTCTCTGTTTGCCTCTCCCTCTTTCTGGCCCCTCTCCAGTAGCACAAGATTTGGAGCCGATTGTCTATTTATAGTGTGTGGTTCTGTCGCCATGACAACCAAGCTGGAGGCCAGGGCGCCAGAGAGCTATTTTTGGAGCAGCGCTGTAATGTCAGACACAGCCTTCTCTCTCTTCGTCTTTCCTCTGCTTTCGCCAGCTCTCTTTCAGGAAATGGTGTGTGTGTGTGTGTGTGTGTGTGTGTGTGTGTGTGTGTGTGTGTGTGTGTGTGTGTGTGTGTGTGTGTGTGTGTGTGTGTGTGTGTGTGTGTGTGTGTGTGTGTTTTGAATGGGGATCGACTGCTGAAGCCCTTCACTCTGATCGGTTTACAGGATGAAGCTTTAAAGCACAAAGAGGCAGTAAAACCTCTGGAATCGCTCCACTCCGATCATCCCCCTCTTCCAGAAAACTCCGAACATTTTTTAACTGAACTCGATACTCCCGAGACCTCATTCTTGTCCATTGCCTGAATGATTTTTGGATTTTTTTTAAATGAGTTTTGATCTAAAAGATTAATCTTTTTGATTACAGGATTTCTGTTAAGATCTAACTTTAATTAGAGTTTTTAGGATCTAAAGATGTCCTATTTTTTCTGAATACCTATAGTAGTTTAAATAGACAAATTAAATGTATATAAAAAATCTTTTAATGGTAAAAGTGACTGATCGAATTCATATTTTATGCCTATCTTTAGTTCAATAAAACTAAAAATTTGCTGTGTTTTTAACTTAAAAAATACTAAATCCACCTTTTAAAAGTTTTTTTTCCTCGAACACCTTCAGACACGCAAACACACAAAGTGTGTAGTAGGGTCCTTGACTGTTTTTCTGGGAGGAAATTATGTTAACTTCTAAGTACAGTGCAAAGTAGATTTAAATTTCAACAGATGTGGAACGTGTGTGTGTGTGTGTGTGTGTGTGTGTGTGTGTGTGTGTGTGTGTGTGTGTGTGTGTGTGTGTGTGTGTGTGTGTGTGTGTGTGTGTGTGTGTGACCATGGAGCCGCCTGGACACACAAAGAAAAACACTCCAGATGTTTTTCAAAATAACCTAAAATGATTTGCAAAATAAAGGTGCATCATTCAGAAATGATTGTTTCACTTTTTCATAGCGTTTATTATTTAGGTTGCATTGAGATTAAAATGTTTTTACATAAATGAAAAATAAAACTTTCAGTATTTGGGGTGTTCGGATCATTCGTGCCAGCACAAATGTTTAACTCAGCGTAGCGTAGTCCCGTTACCAAAAGCAGGGTTTAAAGGAAAAACAATATTAAACAGCGAGTGTTTCAGGTGATGACCTCTTTGTTAATTTGTTAAGAAAGTGACAAAAATAAAAAAGAATTTAATTCTTGCTTTAAGAATTTTCTCACGCCGTTAAAATGTTTTGTCAGTCAGTGTTTTGTTTTTGTTTAAATTAATTATCTGAAAAAAATGTATTAAAGTTTTAAAATCAAAATTTTCTTCTTCATTTATTGTAATTTTAACCTGATAAATTGGAGTTTAGTTTACGCAGAAGTTTTTATAGTAACAGCACCAAAAAGAAACATTTAGAAGTAGGTCAATATTCATCCGCACTTAGCTTTCCATGAAGTTCCCTCCTACAGTTTTCCTACCATACAATCAGCAAAAGTTATAATTTTCTTTTGAACCTTATCTTTTCTTGTAAACACCGGTCTATTTCCAAACACCAGACAAGGATCTTGTATGTGTTTCCACTGTCTGCCACCCCAGAATAACCCTGGCAAGTTAAACATAACCTCTCTGTCACCGCAGTGGCCGCTATTCTTTAGTTCAGCTTACAGACACGGTTATTATTGGCACTTCTATTAATAGGCAGAACTGCTAAAAGCTGAGTTGTGCTGGGCACGTCGACGCCTCGGACCACCACTTTGGCCTCGGCAGCCATGTTTAACCTGTCACGATTAGAGCTGCAGCTTTGTCACATGATCCAGATTATTTCTGGGGTTTTGTGTGTGTGTGTGTGTGTGTGTGTGTGTGTGTGTGTGTGTGTGTGTGTGTGTGTGTGTGTGTGTGTGTGTGTGTGTGTGTGTGTGTGTGTGTGTGTGTGTGTGTGTGTGTGTGAATGTTAAAGATAGAGTTTGTGGGGTTGCAGATGGGAGCGGGCTGTGGGTGTGCTGGCTTAGTGGAAGCGTAGTGGTGTGGGAACAGCTGAACCACTCGACCCCTGCAGTAAACCAGTTACCTAACTGGATGAGAGTGTGTGTGTTTTGATGTGAATACTATCGTCTGTTTGCATTTTGCAGAAAGATGCACACAGAATATTTTTGTCTCTCTTCCGAACTCCTAATGTCGTGCCGGTCTGGTTCTTCAGCCTCTAAAACCCCCCTCACCCCCCGCCCACCCTCCGTGGCTCTTCTCCTTACCTTCAGCCCTCCTGTCACATTTCACCCCTGCCTGCTACATTCCTACCATACCTGCTGTCAGCTGTCCTAACAGAACGTAGACAGTCATTCAAAAGCAGGATGACCATCAAACAGACGATCCCCACTACTTTCTATGGTTTATATAGAATTGTTTTGGGTTTTTTTGTTACTTGTTTCCTTTACAAAATACGTTTCTAGGCAGTTAAACCAAACTGTTCACTCCTTCACACACATATCTGCTTTGAGTCCCACATTTTATGTATTTGAGATCACTTTAAAAGTTTTCTATCAGCTCGTTGGATATCTTTTTTTAAATTAATCGGGATCCCACCAGATTGCAACCATTAGGGTTGCATAAAATTGCAAGAAAGTGTGCAAATTTTCATTTGGAATCACACTGAATTGGTACATGTCACACTTTGGCAGTCCAAATTGGATGAAAATGTTCATTCTGTGATTTATTCACAAAGTCAGCTATGCGTCAAATAGTTGTCATTGTTTCAAGCTTTGGTGAAACTCTTGCCTGTGCCGTTCTAGGGCTGGACAATAATTCAATAGCGATATATATCGATAGTCATGTGGTGGATTAGCACAAAAATGGGTCAATAAAATCTTCAATAAAAAGTTTCCTTTTTCCATTATAGCCTATTGGGTAGCTTCTTATTAGATTCATTTCACACACCCAACCAATCCGTCACCAAGCCCCCCCCCCCCCCCCCCCCCCCAAAAAAATAAACCTAAACAGACAGCAATGTCACATAAACAAGATGTTGCAGCAAGGAGACGTGGAAGAATGTGTCCCGAAAAAAGGTTAGAGTAGTCCACCAGTGTGGCCAAATTTTCATTTTTACAAATTTAATTTACTAAATACAATTATCATATATTTAATAAGACTCGTCATAAATCTATACTTGAATGTGTCTAAATATATTTTTGAAAACGTTTGTCACCCTCATCACGTCAGAGTAGCAGGACTTTTTTCCAGATTTTGTGTAGCAAACGCTTGAAGTAGGTGACTCCGACTCACACACCTCAGAGAGCAGCAGCACCATGTTCAGCAGATCATACCTTTGGGTGGGCCGTCTGCATACCCACCCACGCACCTACACATGCAGCACACACACACACACACACACACACACACACACACACACACACACACACACACACTCCCCCTGTGCTACTACAGCAGCTCCATTGACAAGGATGCCGGTGACTCAGACTGGATCTGATCTCACTTTGAGTTGCAACGTACGTCCTCTTGTGGCTGTTCGGAGACTCATCTCCCATCTCCCTGATGCTTTAGACACACTCTGTGTTGTTAACCCACATTGCTCACACACGCATCTTACTATAATTATTTCCTCTTATGTCTTATTTTTTGCAAGATGTTTACACAAATTATTTTTTCATTCCGAGAATGTCGTGATTGCAGTTTTTTTTTGTATGAGCAGCTGAGATCTGAGTGTTTTTATTTTCTGTTTGCAGCTTCTTAGACAGGATTGATGTGGTCAGGCAGAACGACTACACACCTACTGATCAGGTTTGTGATAATAGTTCTAGAGTAATACATAAAAAGACTGGAATCATCACACACACAGAGAATAACATGAAGCTAGCTCTTTTTCTGGGTATTGATATTGCGCACACGGGCACATTGTCATGACTCATTTAGCCACCAATAATGTCTAAACTGAGGAAAAACTCATATTTTGCTGAAAAACACGACAGACACGTTTCACACCTCAGGGCTGCACAAACAGAACCACTGTGCATCATATAGCATAGTGAGTTTAGGTTTGCAGATCATCCAGCATCCATCATGCTGTTGAATGTGATCACAGACACCAGAGAAGTGGCCTTTATGCAATCCCTTTTGAGCCTAAATCCACACAGAGGATATAATCTACAATAATCGATTTAATCAAGAAGAAATATTTAAAGGTGTGGTTCACAAAAAATGTTTTTAATAATTATTTCTGATCATAATCGGTCACTCCGAGTATTTCATGCAGGCTGAACCTGTAGATAGTCTCCTACACCTATCTCCTGCATTAGCTTCTGATAGAAAACAGACGGTGAAACTCTAGGATTAGAAAATCCTGACAGATCTACGTCACACTGTCACTTAACGTTCATGGGCTTACCCATCTTGACTCACGACAGGGAAGGCTGTTGTTGGTTTAGTGTCCAGGAAACAGCAGAGAATGTCTCGGCTATTATAAGCTAACCGTTAGCATTAGCAACTCTACCACACAGCAGAACTCCTTCAGGCTTGAGTTATTTGTGGAGATAAAACATCCATGTCGCAGAACAAACAAAATCAGAGGTGGAGTTGCGTTGTTGCTCGTCAGTCAGCAGTGAGATGTCCAACTTTCAGTAATTAAGTCTACAAAGCCTGAAGCTCACCTCTGATGTGGCTCACTTCTACTTCCTGAAACTGGTGCGCAGGAGCTTTGTTTCCACAGAGTACGACTTACAGGACATTCATTCCTCCTAGAGACCTCTGCAAATTTAAATGAGTGAAACACATCTTTGAATAATTTCTGGCTTTAATCAGAAGGAGCTTTCTGGTGGCTAATCTGTTTTTTTTATATATATCTGCTGCCTGCTCTGAGTTCATTCCGGCTTTTTCCATCTCTGTTCCAGGACCTCTTGCGATGCAGAGTACTCACATCTGGGATCTTTGAGACAACTTTTCAAATAGACAAAGTCAATTTCCAGTAAGTCAGAAACTTCATTTATTACAGCGTCGGGTCATTTATGCTCTATCATGGACTTAAATCAGCAGCGTTGTTAGTGTAGGGAAAATTATGCAACAATTACATAAACAACTTAGTTTATTTATGTATTTATGTAATTACACACACAAATGCACACACACAAGTCATAGTTGTTTCTGCTTGGAGTAAACAAAAAGAAAACAATTTTAAAACCTTACTAAGTCTTTTTAACGGTTGTGTGAGCTTAAAGTCTGAAATCTTTAGATGCCCTAAAGTCATTGATGGTTGTAAGAATAATAAAAATAAAAAACCCAATTTCAGGACTTTACAAAGCAGATCGTGTTAACAAAAATTCAACATTAGAGCTTCTAAAATCATTTGTGATCAAATGAAAATAAAAAGCATCATTTTAAGACTTTAGGAAGTTTGTGAGAGTTGGGAAAACTAAGAGAATAAATCCCTAAATTTAAATAAGACTTAATAAAGTCAAAATCAACACGTTTTGCATCATCGTACCTTCCCCAGCATTAGTTTAGAAACAAAGGCGAACGTTTTGATCTTGCAAGCATTGAAGTTAAGGAATGAATAGAAAGTTCTGCTTTATTCTGATGATTTTTTTTTTTTTTTTTTTTGTCTGGCAGTATGTTCGATGTCGGCGGTCAGAGGGATGAACGCCGAAAATGGATCCAGTGTTTTAATGGTCTGATGTTACTTAACCGTTGAACGGGTCATAGATTATTCACGAATAGTTTATCATCTCACTGATGTCTGCTTTTGTCGGGTGTTGTTTTGTTGGTCCCTTTCCGGCTGCATGTGTTGGGTCCAGATGTGACGGCGATCATCTTTGTGGTGGCGAGCAGCAGCTACAACATGGTGATCAGAGAAGATAACCAGACTAACCGACTACAGGAAGCCCTCAATCTGTTCACAAACATTTGGAACAACAGGTCAGCAGAGCTGTAGATTTTTACTGTGCTCGGTTTCTTTCTTTCTTTCTTTTTTATATTTTGCATGTTTATCTTTTTTTAATAAACTGGTTTTAAATCAAAAAGCAACTGAAAATTTGATGAATACTGAAACAGAAGTGAGTAGTTTTGTTTCTATTACTTGTTTCTTCTAGAATTTTTTGGACTGATTTATTTTCTGTAAAATAATTTGGAGCTATAAATTCCCCAAAGGCAGCAGGGTGAGAAGACTGTTGCTGAAGACAGAAGCTCTTATATCTCTCCATCCCATAGTTTCTATGTGTAAATCTGTCCTTGTACACGTTTACCGATACCAAAGACACTTTGCAGTGACCTGGTGAATTTCCTTCCACAGGTGGCTACGGACCATTTCTGCAATTCTCTTCCTGAACAAACAGGACCTACTGGCTGAGAAGGTTTTGGCAGAAAAATCCAAAATTGAGGAATATTTCCCAGAGTTTGCACGCTACACCACACCTGATGACGGTAGGTGGTACAACTGGGATTAATAGTAAAAATAAATGGTCAGTATTTGATATAGCACCTTCTAGAGTCCTGGAACCCCCCAAGGTGCTTTACAACACAATCAGTCATTCACCCATTCACAGGTTCTAGTCGGAACCTTTCGACGTCACACACCAACTCTGACTCCTTCCCCACCAGAGAGGTGACATTTCACGTACTGAGAGCCAGCTTTTGTAGCTGAGGATCAGACCGCCCACCCTTCTCACACTGAACCTGACCCCTTTGGCCCCTCCCACGAGTGATGAGTCCATGAGAAGGAGGACCGACACCTCCTCTTTGGGTTGTGCCTGGCCAGGCTCTATAGGTGAATGCCCGGCCACCAGGTGCTCACCAACCTGCCCCAACTCCAGGCTTGGCTCCAGAGGGAGGCCCTGGTGACCCCAGCTCGGGCCAGGGAACACTGTGTCCATATACGTGACTCATCATGAGGGGTCTGATCCCTCGCCTAGAACCTGTTTGCCATGGGTGACCTTACCAGAGGCATGAAGCCTCAGACAGCTTAGCTCTTAGGATCATTGGGACATTCAAAACCCTCCACCATGGTCAGGTGGCAGCCCAGGGAGGGGAAAAACAAATTCCATTCGTCTTCCAATCAGAGTTGGAATGAGCTTAATCACTGAGGATCTACAGAAACCTTTCATGATGACAGCTCCGTGTAGGTCTGAGGAACATGTGTAAATCTGAATTGCTGCGTCCCACAGTTACACCACATGGTGAAGTGTGTGAACATTTTCATGTTTCATGTATTTACTGTTGGTAAAACATTGATCATGTGTGTGTGTGTGTGTGTGTGTTTGTCCAACAGCAATACCGGAGCCAGGGGAAGATCCTCGGGTTACCAGAGCAAAGTACTTCATACGGGATGAGTTTCTGGTGTGTACAAAGAACAAACTCAACCAGGTAAATCTTGCTGTACCTGGTTGAGTTTGATCAATTTCCGTTCGTTTTAAAACATATTTTTCCTGTACTTGTATGATTCTAGTTTTCAGAACCACGGAGCCGTGCAGCATAAGCAGATCAGGGGTCTCATTTATGAAACTTTGTAGAAACCTTACTAAACCTCTGCCTAAGCTCAACAAAAAAATTTTTGCTTATGCAAATAAAATATACTGCTTTATAAAACACAGCTGTCCTATAAATGTGCTCAGGTGATCTTGGATCACATCGTGCTGGTGAAGGTTCTCAGTTCTCAGTCATCAAGTCATGGTTATCCAGAAGGGTTCAAGTGACGGCGACTGGACTTCTGTGTTCAGTAGTCTCCTTTACAAAGCAGCTGAAGACTCACTTGTTCAAGCTGGCTTTTGTATGACCTTCTTCACCACTCTCTCTTTATTCTGCTCTCCCCACCTATTCCACCTTCCTCAGGATCCACTGATTTCCCTCTTTCCTGTTCACTCTCTCTCTTTCTTAACATTTTTTGATCACAATTGCCTATTTTTGCTCATTTTAAATATATTTTTAAACATTTTCTAAATGCTTTTTTATATTTTTACATTTTTTGTTTTTGTGAAGCGCCTCGTGATTTTTATCTTGAGAGGCGCTATAGAAATGATATTTTCTTCTTCTTCTTTGGCTTCTTGCAGATGTTTTGCTCCTTTGTCAGTTCTGACTGGAATACGGGAGGGTCAAGCTTATAAGCTGTGGCTGTCTGTTGTTGCTTAATGAGCTTGTTTAGCAGTCGGAGCCAAATGTTTTGTCTTGATTTCTAGGCTAAAACCAATGATGATCAGCTGGACGGGTACATGTTTGGTAAATAGTTGCTTAAACGTTTAGAAGAAATCCTTTGGATGGCTCAAAAAGTTATAAATTTGATTATAATGGACTTCTTCTGACACTTAAAGCAGGCTGAAACTAGGGTAATTAAAGGAACGCTTACATGTTAGTGTAGGTTTGGGGAGTGGAGTCGTCACCAGTACTGATTTATCCCCACCTGTCTGTCTTTTTCAGACGATCAGCACAGCCAGCGGAGGCGGACGGCATTACTGTTACCCACACTTCACCTGCGCGGTCGACACAGAAAACATCCGTCGTGTCTTCAATGACTGTCGCGACATCATACAGAGGATGCACCTACGGCAGTATGAGCTCTTGTGATCCACAGTGCCACCACGCCCACTTATTTACCCACTGCCCTGCTTAGCAACACGCCCCCACCACCACTGTCACAACAACCAGTTAGCTACTTACCCCTCCACTTCTACTAAACTCACCTGACAACCCCCCCCCCTCCCACCTCGATGCCACCTCTCCTGCTCCGAAACAACAAAAAACTGAAACGCCTTTTTTCTTTTGTTAAAAAAAAATAAAACGGTTCTATCAGCCAACAGCCTGGACTGGCACCTCGATCCAGGATAGAGGGTAGAGACTGGAACCCTTCCGTTTATTTCTGTCTGACATGTATGAACACACACTCACAAGTACACACACACACTTCAGAATAAGACACTCAAACGTTTATTATAACGGCCACTCAGTCATTTAGTCCTGCGCCTCTAAAAATGGTCAAAATCAAATAAAGCGTTCTCCGAGAGGACTCGGTTTACCGTGTGCTGACGAGAAGCAGAGGACGGAGTACACGGACGGCGGCGAGTGGCTACAGGTGGCTTTTCTTCTGATGAACGAGAGCGTGACTCTGAGATGAAGACTCAAGAAATCAGCTGAGGAATATTTACAGAAAATAAATAAACAAAACATGAAAGATGAGAGAATAATGCATACCAGTGAACTTCATGCAGTGCAAAATAATCCACATATATATATATACATATATATATGTATATATATATATGTATATATATACATATATATATATATACATATATATATGTATATATATATATGTACATTCCTGTAACATCACAGGTCAACTTTTGAGTTTTTTGGTTTTGCCCATGTTGTGTGTTAGTGTGTGAGAGAGATATCTGCCTTTATGCAACTTCTCCCGACACTATCACACACACACACACGCACGCACACACGTACATACGTATGATCCAGCCCTCATTGGTTTCCAACTTCCTCCTTTTGTCTTGTTCTCTCACCTTCTCCTCGGCTTTAAGGACGGCCGTCTTTTCATTTACTGCTGGACTATTATTCTTGTACAAACTGTAAAATGTATTATTTTGTACAACTTTACTGAAGAAAAGAAAATATCTTGTAGAAGATCCCTGTGCCTTCATCACGACTGTCCGTGTAAAAATGAGCTAATATGTGAGTTCTGTATTCACTGCGCTGTACAGGTCTGTTCCACCTCGTTCAGACCAGCTCACCCCGCCGCCGCCCGGGGCGGTGAGGGCATCGGGTCCATGAGGACACCTTTCATCTGTTGCTTTGTTTTTTGTTTTTTTTTTAACATTTGTGGATGAATTAATTTGTTCTGCTTTGACTCTTTTCTGGTTTATATAATAGAAATTTAAAAATGAAAGATATCAGACACTCTTATGCTGTGTAGTGAAGCATAATGAACCTTAACACAACTTGATATATATAAAATATATTCCAGATTTTATATTTTATATATATGAACTGTACACCTCTATCTGTCTACTTTGTGAGTTTCTTATTTTTTTTCCGTTAAAAGAACTCAAGTTGGGGTGCAAAGTGGTGGATGTTTCAGTTTTTATCTATTTATTTTTTTCTAATTTAGTTTGAACTAAAGAATGAGGAAATATCCAGATGCAACACATTTCTTGTTTTACCAACTTATATTTTTTAGGAGTTTTTTTTTTTTTTTGCCTAAACAAGAGGAGATGATTCGTTTCCACAGCTGTAGTTCACATCACAATCAGTCAGCCGTCAGCTCATCAGACATAATAAAGTCAATGAAAACGCAAGAATTTTGTAATAAAGGCTAAAGTCAGAAAGGGAATAGTTTTTTATTTGTATTGATTAAGGAAGACAAAATGTTTAAAACTGGTATTAATTTTCACTTACAGATGTTGACCTGCACTTGTACAGCTCCTGTCTGAGTCAGAGGACTCCAAAGCATGTATCATTCATCCATTCACACACATTCACACACTGGTGGTGATGAGCAACAATGTAGCCACAGCTGCCCTGGGGCGAGGCTGCTGGACACCATCGGTCCCTCTGAGGGTGAAATATCTTTCCCGAGGACACGACTGACAGTGCATGGATTTAAACCTGCAACCCACCAACTACAGGGCGGACTCCTAACCCCTGAGCCACTGTCACCCGCAATTATTAACCAACAAGTTCAAAAGCATACAAATATTTTTTAAGACTTATTTGTAAATTCTGATTCAAAGATGATTTAATCTCCAAATCATAAAACTGCTCACATGCCTTAAACTAAATCGGGTTTTTAATCCAGACTTTTTAACAAAGAGGTGGGCAGTTTCAGCAGGATTTAACTGTTTCAAACACCCCAAAATCAGGCTTTATCACCAAAGTCACTTCCTTTAAATCAGCTTACACCATTGTCAACAACATCCACCTTTCATTGGTTTCTGTGTCAGGTTTTTGTAGGAAAAACCAAACGTTGGCCTGAGAATGTGGAACACATCACCCTGATAGACTAATGTCAGTTCATTTGTTTTCCTTTGAAATCTCAGCAAACAAGGTTTCTTCTGTCCGGTGTGCAGCAGTGATGATTTGATTTGTTTTTATGTCAACGCCCCTACATCTGTGTCCCCATTGTCACCCAAGCTGCACTGGTAAGTGAGTTTACACTTAGCTGAGTGAGCAAAATCTGTAACTGGAGATCTGCATGAATTTGTAAACCTGAACAACATGGGAAGGTTTTCAGTTAAATTACCAAACAGCAAGAGGAGGCCTGGTACTGATGCAGGATGATGCTGCTATGGCAAAACATCAGCAGCTTGGAACTCACTTTGATAAATTACCTGATTTTGAACCCTAGATGCTTCTTGATTGGTCCAGATTAACTGGTTTCATAAATTAGACTAAATGGGTTGACCAAATCATGCCCAGCTGACCTGCAGTCTGATTAGTGGGTTAGTAGTGGGGATTTCTTGTTTGTTCAACTAAACTTCTATAGTTTATTTAGAATAGAATAGAGTAGACTTTATTGATCACACAGTGGGGAAATTCACTTGTTACAGCAGCACCAACACTTAGACAATAATTCAAAGAAAAATAATAAAAGTAGTATATGTATATACACATAGGCAGTAAGCTATTGTTGTAACATTCGACCACTAAAAACCTTGAATGAAAATTAAACTTGGGTTCAGAACTATGCAGCATACTGTAAGGGAGACAGGCATACTATGTAAGTCATGCACAAGTATTGAACACCTACTGCATTGATGTTATTGGAGCTACACCTTACAAGTTCATTGCCCGTCCTTATATGTATAGAAAGCTTTCCAAAGGTAAAACGAACCAAAATTAAATAGTCATTAACCTACAAATAAACCTTGCAAATTATATATATATATATATATATATATTCTTTTTTTTCCCTCCTACTTTACCAACATTTATCTACAGATGATCGGCATTAGTGTGTTAGGCGGTTTCCTAGTGTTAAAATACTCGAGAAAAACGAGCAACATGGAAAATTCCTCGAAGGTCTACACCCACCGGGCCGCTAGAGGGAGCCAGAGTTCAACATCAACATAAAAATACAAAAAAGAACCACGTGGGTCTAAAACCAGGCTGCTTACTGAACGTGCTTCCTCCGGCGAAACCCCGCCTCCCGCTTTCTCTTCCATTGGCGCGCACCTACAGCTCTGTGGCCGTGCTTCACCGCACCTCCCCGGCCGAAGAGAGCTCACCGTGGTGGAGCAGTGTGCGACAGAGTAAACGGAGCAGGCATGAACGCAGCGGGCGATGTTCGGGCCGGTTCGTCAGCCGGACCCGTCCAGCAGGGACTGAAAGAGGCTCTGATTGAGACGCTAACGGCCATCCTGTCTCCGGTTCAAGAAGTGCGCGCTGCCGCGGAGGAACAGGTCAAAGTGCTGGAAGTGACTGAGGGTAAGCGGTGGTCGGATCCTAAAGGCTCCTCCGGGGTTAAGCGTGATCATCATCCAAGTATTGACTTCTAAAACGGCCGAGAGGTGCTTTGTGTCAGGGCTTGGACTGCTGTTAAGCCAGCTAGTAGCCGGAGCGTTAGCAGAACTCCGTGGCTAATGTTAGGCCATATTCTCAGAAGTTGTTGGTGACTGAAACTGTTTTGATAGTGAAAAGAAAACACTGTCCTGTAATGGGCTCGAAAGCCCGGCTCCGTTGTCAGGAAAGCCGACTGGACCCTGCTCCGCGAAGCTAGTGGCGTTAGGCGTAAATATTAGCGGAAACCTAGCATGTAAGTTATTTGCAGCACATGGATGGGTAATATTTGGACCCCGGCCTCTGCAGCAAGGTAAACTACACTTCAGTTATCTCAGAAACGCAAATATTCTTGTTTTTGACGCGTGTGTATAGTAAAGACCTACATTTTGAGTGTTTTACAGTTGCAAATTGGCATAATTCATTGTTTTCTTTTTTCGTCCTGTATGAATCGGAAACCAGCATTGTTACTTAAAAACGTTCAAAGGTCGAGCGAGCTGATGTTTTAGCTCATATTTGAGTTCAGCGTTACCTCACGTCCCATGTCAAACGACTCCTGTAGCTTTTAATACGAACATTATTTCCAAATAGACTGTCAGTTTGTCCCCGTAGTCTCTGGTAACCACTGACACATTTTCCCGCGAAGTTATCTCCAGGGGGGGGCTGCGCCTACCGAAGCCCGCCGAAGAAAGTCCCAGTGTCCAGCTGCATTAGGAGGTGTTTCACGTCGGGACATGCGTCATCATTTGCTTACCAAACTAAACCATAACAGTTTCTTCTTGGTCCAACAATCATTGTTTGATGTGTTGAGATCCCAAAATGATATTTAGATGGGTACAAAGCAACTCAGTGCCAGGAGGACCAGGCTCTGTTATTCCAACCGTATTTCATAACATCTCAACTTTGTACAAATGCATGCACGTGCTTTGGTTCCACATTTTGCATTAAGTGAAACTATAACAAAAAGTGTTTAGTGTTTATTATTAGTGGCCAGGGTTTGCCTTCAGGTGGGGAGCACAGGAGGTCCAAGCTAGCTGTCAGGGTGGCACTTGCCCACCCTGGACTTTCCCCAGCACCACCTCTGCTAAATGCAGTTTATAATTGTTAGTTTTCTGTCTGTCTCCATCTCCAGCTGATCATTTTTGAGCTACGAAAATGTTATGTGACAAATAAAAGATGATTTCCTTTTTGCTGTCGAGCTGAAATGCGTGTATACTGAGTGCAGCTCGACTAAACTGCTTTATTGTTCTGGAGTTCTCATGCTGCAGCTGAAATGTTAATCATGCACAGTCGGTGCACACACAGTGTTGCATTAAGTCCGACCCTTTACACTGGCCCCTCTCTCGGGCAGGTGCTCTGTGGGATTGTCAGCACTAACATTGTCTTCTGGCGCCTGATGTCACTTTTGTAAAACCCAGCTAGAAGCAGGGCTGAACGGCGGATGAAATCATTGTCCGCTCGCAGCGTTTTTTAAGTCTCTGAATTGTGTTTTATATTTACCACTTTTGGCTCCATCTTCATCTAAAAAGCCATTTTAAACTCACGAGTTGTTGCTTGTTTGCATCTTCTGCTCTTGTTGTGTTTTTTTCTGAGATGTTGTAGCTTCTGGTTTAGGCTCTGGACAATTAAATGCATGGTTTCTGTTTATCAAAGTCAAAATTAATCCTGACTTCAACATGTTACTGATCTGAGACATTCAGAGAGGGGGGTTCGATCAGTCGCCTCAATAGCAGTCAGTCATTAAAGTTTGTGTGAAATGTTTATTTAAATCTTCCCTGTCGTTGTGCTGGTTTTCCAGAATTTGGTGTCCACCTAGCAGAACTCACAGTTGACCCTTGGGGGGCACTTGCCATCCGTCAGGTGAGCAGACAGATGCGTGTTTCTCGCAATCTGAACCCTTTTCATGATCGTGTTTGTTTCTGTTGCTGTGACATGTGCAGTTAGACTGATATGGGGTTATTTGTGTTTGCAGCTGGCCTCTGTCATTCTGAAGCAGTATGTGGAGACTCACTGGTGCTCCCAGTCAGAGAAGTTCAGGCCTCCTGAAACCACGGATCAGGTAAAACGCTCCCCTGGATACAGCTGCTTCAGAAACCACTGGGGCATTTTGAAGCCAGACATTGTCAGTCAGGTGTTGTGTTTCTCCAGGCTAAAGCTGACATCAGGGAGCTGCTCCCGAGCGGTTTGCGAGAGTCCATCAGCAAAGTTCGCTCCAGTGTCGCCTATGCCGTGTCAGCCATCGCCCACTGGGATTGGCCCGAGGCGTGGCCGCAGCTCTTCACCCTCCTGATGGAGATGCTGGTCAGTGGAGATGTCAATGCTGTGCATGGGGCTATGAGGGTCCTCACAGGTATGGGAAACATCCATGTAGTCACACTGGTGCCCTCGATCAGTCAAACATTCTGGTGACCGAATGTTGTGTTGTGTTCAGAGTTTACCCGAGAGGTGACCGATACCCAGATGCCTCTGGTGGCTCCAGTCATCTTACCTGAGATGTACAAGATTTTCACCATGGCTGAGGTATGGCATCACTTCCTGTTCTCTGCTGCTCACCAGGTGTGCCACAGCGGTGAGCAGAGCTATGAGAACAGTTCACTGATTGATACATTTTCTTCCTTCGAATTACATTTCTGCTGATGCCACGCTAATTAAAATTAAGCTGATTCATCTAACAGTTATTAGTTATAGAGTAAAACCAATGTTGATCTTTTTTTTAACAATAAAATGACAAATTATCAAATAGTTTTTCTGTCCTTGAGTTTGATGGTTAAGCTGCATGGTGGCACTGTTTGTGTTACTATTGTCTTGCAACATAAAGGTTGCCAGTTCAAATCCTGCCTGTGTGGCCCTTTCTGTGTGGAGTTAGCATGTCCTCCTCATGAATTTCCTCTGGGTGGTCCAGTTTCCCCCCACAGACCAAAAACACATGTGTCAGGCTGATTGGAGGCTCTAAATCATCCCTAGTGTCTGGTTATTTGTCTTTGTGTCCTCCTGTGATGGACTAGAGACCTGTCCAGGGTGTCCCTCTCATGTCTTCCGACTTGGCTCCCCGCAACACTAGTTAGGACAAAGTCATTAAGATAACGGATGGATGGTTTGTTGTGTGCACATATCGCCTGTGGGAACTGTTAGTTTCTGTTTTAGGCAATACATATTTGCTCATTTTCCTCCATTCTTGCAGGTTTACAGCATTCGTACCCGCTCCAGAGCTGTGGAGATTTTCACCACCTGTGCCAACCTGATCTGTGCTATTGAAGAGCTGGAGAAGGTAAAACAAGCGTCAATCAAATGGAGATTAGATAAATCAATTGGTGGGCCAAAAAAGTCAGGGTCAAGACGTTAATAGCGTGCCTGTGTGTGTGTTTAGGGTGCAGCCAAAGCCTTGATCTTCCCCGTGGTGCAGCAGTTTACGGAGGCGTTTGTGCAGGCTCTGCAGATGCCTGATGGACCCTCATCTGATAGTGGGCTGAAGATGGAAGTCCTGAAAGTGAGAGGCTTTTTAAGTTTGGCTAGCTAATAAAACCGTTTGTAATTGATGTTCAGAATTGTTATTTTTTTATTTACTGCTATCAAAGATTTCCTGTTCTTCTTTTCTCAGGCGGTGACGGCATTAGTGAAGAACTTCCCCAAACCCATGGTGTCTTCCATGCAGCAGATCTTACCCATCGTGTGGAATACACTGACTGAAAGTGCAGCTTTATATCCCTCAGTGTGATTTACAGCTACAGATGACTTGTGTTTGAAACCACTAATCCAGTTAACGGCAGCATTGCTGCGTGAAATCATTAACACCTGGTAAAAGGTTTTACCACACTGCTCCTTAACCAGTTGTCCACTTATGTGAGGACAGAAGTGAACTACACAGAGGAAGTGGACAACCCCGTAGACTCGGATGGTGAGTCCGACCGACATATTTGTCATCCTCTTGTGTTGTCTTACTCCCTTCTGGTGCCACATGTGTTCTGATGTTTATTACTATTGATGCAGGGGAAGTTTTGGGATTTGAAAATCTGGTGTTCAGCATCTTTGAGTTTGTCCACACCCTGCTGGAGAACAACAAGTTTAAGAGCACAGTGAAAAAGGCTCTGCCTGAACTCATCTACTACATCATCCTCTACATGCAGATCACCGAGGACCAGGTACAGAATCACTGGAACTAACGTAGCCGTAGCTGGACATACGGCTGCATGCCTGTGACCGTTCGCTGTGTTGTCTCTTTAGATCAAAGTGTGGACGGCTAACCCTCAGCAGTTTGTTGAAGACGAGGATGATGATACATTCTCCTACTCTGTCAGGATCTCTGCTCAGGATCTGCTGCTGGTGAGATTAAAACCGAGCATGAAAGCCTGCAGTGGAAATGTTGTAAATTAGGACTTGTGTAGAGTAAACTTTTGGTCACGTCTTGTAGTTTTTGTATTTTACTGCAGCTTCAACTGTCCCGTGTAGTTTGGGGTGGGAAAAGGATGCTGTGAGCTAGCAAAGGCTTTTTGTACCCATAGTACAACTTATAAGGCATTAAATCCAACTAGAGATAACTGTGAATGTACTGATTAAATGAGTAAACTACACCTTTGAAAAAGTGCTCTGTAGAATAGTGTTTATTGTTATTTTCCTGTTGTTTTTTTTAACAGTTTTGCATCAGATTACAGTTTGTGCATGCACATGTTTGTGTGTGTAAAATGTTGGTGCTGGTCCCGGTTGCAGGCTGTGGCTGCAGAGTTTCAGAACGAGAGTGCGGCGGCCTTGGCAGCAGCAGCAACCAGACACCTCCAGGAGGCAGAGCAGGCTAAAAGCAGTGGTAATGAGCACTGGTGAGGAGACGAGTCACACCGATGTTTAATGACTCTGTTATGGCATCAAGCACTAAAATGCCTTTGTATTCTTTCTGATTTAAAGTATCAATAAACATCAAAAGAAGAGGAAAACAAGTTTAATCTTGTTTTTTCTTCTTTTTTATTTATTACCAAAATAGGTGGAAGATTCATGAGGCCTGCATGTTGGCTCTGGGTTCAGTAAAGACCATCATCACAGAAAACGTGAAGAACGGTCGGATCCAGTTTGACATGCACGGCTTTCTAGCCAGCGTCATTCTGGCGGATCTCAATCTGGCAGGTGAGATTCTCATCATGGTCCCAAATGTGTCGAAACAAAGCAAAACCCAGCTGAAACTCAGATGTCTTAAAGCTGCAATGGCAAATCTGTGAAACAAGCTAGCTTAAAACATTTTGTCATGCCTCTTAGCAGCTTTCTTACATTGTATAGCTGTAAATATTTTGTGGAGATTACACAAAAGGAAATAAATTAATGAAGTGGTTTTCTGGCATTTATCTAAAAACTTCCACCAGTAACACGTTTCAGACCGAAAGCAACTATTAGACCATCCTGTTGTCGGTCTCATCGAACCGCCGCACTTCCCTGAGTCCCCCGCTCATTACGCACTTGCCTTTTTAGCAACAGAACACCACTGGTGTGAGAGGTTCTCTGCTCAAAGAAGGAGAAACAGCCGGCTGCTACCACTTCAACTTTATTACAAACTACCAGAGTTCCAAAAAGAAAAACAACATTTGAAGTCATGGACAACGGAAAACGTTTGGACCTAGAAAACGGTGTCTCTGTTTAGCGCTCTCTAGCGTCCGCTGGCATCATGGGTTCCCATATGAGGGGTATGTGGCCTAGGGATGATGGCTGACCGGAGGGGGAAGAGTTCTGTGACCATGTTTGTGTTTAAAAGCTAGCTTGATTTGCCATTGCAGTTTAAAATGGTTTTGTTTTTGGCACAATTCTGCACATTAGTAAATTTTATATATTGAGTACCGTATTTTCCAGAGTATAAGTCGCTCCCTCCGGAGTATAAGTCGCACCAAACATAAAATGTATAATGAAGAAGGAAAAAAAAACATATAAGTCACATTTTGGGGGGGAAATTTATTATTTTTCTTACAAAATTTGAGATCAAGCGTTTCACATTGCAAGACAAGTACCGGTAACAATAACAGAATAAACAACCAGGGTGCAGCAGCGCGCCACGGTCTCCAGCAGAGGATGGTGGGGCAGAGGATCTTATTCCTGGTCCGGAGCCGGCCCGCAGCAGCGCGGTATACATAATTTGGTATACAAGTCGCAGGACCAGCCAGACTATGAAAAAAAGTGCAACATATAATAGTTAAACTTTTTAAATCTTGGATCAATTTAAGTTTAAAAAAATTGCCAAAGAATGGTCAGTTTGGGAAACTTGCGAACAGTGCAGTTAGTAATAATAATAAAATCCTTTTCCTCCCTGAAAGTCCGGTGTTATTTTCTCACTTCCAGCTGCATCGCCGTTCCTCCTCGGCCGGGCTCTGTGGGCAGCCAGCCGCTTCACAGCAGCCATGTCTCCAGAGCTCATCCAACAGTTCCTCCAGGCCACCGTCAGCGGCCTCCACGAGAGCCAGCCGCCATCCGTCCGCATCTCTGCGGTTAGGGCCATCTGGGGGTGAGGCGCCGGAATGAGGAAATCTGTATAAACAATGTCATCGTTTCTGATCGGCAGTGAGAATTTTGGTTTTGTTCTCCTACAGATACTGTGATCAGTTGAAGCTGTCTGAGAGCACACACGTCCTTCAGCCCTTCCTCCCCAGTATCTTAGATGGACTGATCCAGCTTGCTGCGCAGTTCAGCTCGGACGTGCTCACACTTGTCATGGAGACTCTCTGTATCGTCTGCACAGTCGACCCGGCCTTCACCACCAGCGCCGAGAACAAGATCTGCCCCCTCACAATCGCCATTTTCCTTAAATATAACAATGGTAATATTGGAACTCTAAAAAGAAAACAATCTTTTAAAAAGCGCCTCGAGATATAAATCACGAGCTGCTTCACAAAAACCAAAAAAATTTAAAACATAAAAAAGATTGTAAAATAAATAATTCAGTGTGCCCCAGGGCAGCTGTGGCTACATCGTAGCTCACCACCATCAGTGTGTGAATGGGTGAACGATACACTGTCGTGTAAAGTGCGTTGGAGTCCGCTGACTGAAAGGTGCTACACAAGTGTGGGCCATTTTTCATTATCATTTGTTTTAAAACATAATGTGGATCCCAGGAAAGGTGGGCATAACTACATTAGGATTTTATTTTTTCATTTAACTGTTCGTTTGTCACTTTTGTACATTAGATGTGCATTCCCACCAACATTAGTGAAAAGCAATGCAAAGGGGGGTTAAATTAGTTTTTCTTTCTCACTTCAGATCTCTAAAGAAAACACTTGTCTGGTTTGTTTTTTATGGATTTGATGGTCTTTTCTCAGACTCCGTCCTCTCTCCTCCTCAGACCCTGTGGTGACCTCTCTGGTGCAGGACATCTTTAAGGAGCTGGCTCAGATCGAAGGCTGCCAGGGCCCCATGCAGATGCGCCTCATACCCACGCTGGTCAGCATCATGCAGGCTCCGCCTGACAAGATCCCCTCTGCGCTCTGCTCTGTGAGTTATTCAAGGTTCCAGTCATGATGTGTGTTCATTCGTCTAAATATTTGTATGTTGGCCAGTGTTTAGCCTTTCATACTCAAAGATAAAATAAGATTCTCATGGCATTGAGCTAAAGTTTGCTTCAATAAGGACTTAGATCAGTAAGAAGTTGTACAAAAATTAGAAAGAAAAAACTTTTAGATTGATATTTTAGGAAACAAAACTAAAGATATCTCCACTGTGCCGGGATACGTTATTTTTTTAAATGGAGATTTATTGAGTCGACGACCTGCTCTGTCCAGACGTCTGTAGACATCCTGACTACGGTTGTCCGAAACACGAAGCCCCCTCTATCAGAGCTGCTGGTGTGTCAGGCGTTTCCTGTGGTGGCTCAGTGCACCATACGCACAGACGACAACACCATAATGCAGGTGAGCAAAACCAAACCTTCCTTCTGCTCAGACATGAGTTCAAAAGTGGCTCATTGATGGTGCTTCCTGTAAATAAATAGCTAAATTTCATGTTTCAGGTGGTTGTCCAAAGCATTCTTGTATCACTTTCCTCTCTAGAATGGAGGCGAGTGTTTGCGGGCGTACGTCTCTGTCGCCCTCGAACAAATAGCCCAGTGGAGGGACGAGCAGGGGAACAGCGGTCTCTGGTACGTCATGCAGGTGGTGAACCAGCTGCTGGACCCACGAACTTCGGAGTTCACTGCCGCCTTCGTGGGCAGGCTGGTTTCCACGCTGATCTCCCGTGCAGGAACGGAGCTCGGGGATCAGCTGGACCAGATCCTCCGAGCAATTCTGAGCAAAATGCAACAAGCCGAGACTTTGAGCGTGATGCAGGTGCGGACCAAAGATGACTGGATGTGTTGTGTTTTTAAGCCTGTGAGCTAGTTTAATTCCCCCACCGGGGTTTCTCCTCGTCTGTAGTCCCTGATCATGGTGTTCGCCCACCTGGTCCACTCTCAGCTGGAGCCTCTGCTGGAGTTTCTGTGCAGTCTGCCGGGGCCAACAGGAAAGCCCGCCCTGGAGTTTGTCATGACCGAGTGGATGAGCCGGCAGCATCTCTTCTATGGACAGTACGAGGGGAAAGTCAGGTCAGTCACCTCTTTATGATGAGCTTGTTTTGTTTTCTCTAAATGCAACAGTTTTCATTATTAATCAGACTTTTATTTAATCCAGCCAAAGGTAATCTGAAAGCCTACAGCAGGTTAAACCGGCTAATGTTATCTTCTCGGTACTAGAGACTTTTTAAAATCTGCGCTGCCACCTAGAGGCAGATAATCTTAAATTCCATGAATAGTTTCTGTTCATAATTTTTTTAATATTTGAGCTGTAAACAAACAGGCGAGTTCCCTGATAAAACTTGTTTCAACTGAAACGGTGGTTCTGTGCGAGGTGGGAAGTGTTGATGTTGTTTTCATCGTGTGCACCTGGTTCTCAGATCTAATGTATGAAACGTTCTTCTCCCATAGCACGGTGGCGTTGTGTAAGCTGCTGCAACACAGCATCAACGCTGATGACAAACGTCTGCAAGATATTATGGTGAAGGGAGACGAAATTTACAGCGCTGAAGACGGCATCCGCACGCGCTCTAAATCTGCCAAGAGTAAGATTAAATAATATGAGATTACATTTAAAATAGTCTCTTATGTTTCTTTAATTAGGAGTTTATAAAGTTAATATTTAGATTTTGAGTCTTGGGTGTGAGTAAATGACTAAATATAATTTCCTCTATTTCTGTTTCTGACGATGCTTTTTACTAGATCCAGAGCGCTGGACCAACATTCCTTTGCTCGTGAAGATCTATAAGCTGATCATCAACGAGCTGTCGACTGTGATGGAAGCAAACGCCAGCAGAGGAAACACAGCAGACTGGAGTCAAGGTGAAGAGGACCTGGGCTGGTACCATTTCTAATACAGAACACATTCTGCCATAGCACAAAGTTAACCCAAGCAGCTGTTTCTGTTGGATTCAGATTCCAGCGGGATATGGGACGACCAGGAGGAGGAAGAGGGGGAGGATGATGATGATGATGATGAAGGGCTGGCAGGACAGCTGCTCTCTGATCTCATTGCCTCTAGCAAATACGGTAATTGCGTCTCCTGTGTTCAGGGTGAGGTCTCGTGATTGATGATTTCAGCCCACTAACTTTTCTCCTGTTTTTACAGATGATGATTATTATGAAGATGACGATGAGGACGATCCAGATGCCTTGAAAGACCCCATATATCAGATCGATCTGCAGGTAAGTGCTGTAACGTTTTGTATTCATATTTGGTATATGCCATGTTGGCTTGTTACTCTATTGAAGGATTTTTGCACGAAGACTTTATCTGCTATTTGAGTTAATCTCGCCTCCATCTCCTCTCCTCCGCAGGCCTACCTGACAGACTTCCTGACACAGTTTTCCCAGCAGCCCTGCTATAGCATGTTCTCGGGCCACCTCAACAACACAGAGAGACAAACCCTGCAGACAATAGGCTTGTAGCCCATCTCTTCATCCCTTTATTACATCATCATCATCTTCTTCCATAAATGCACCCTGAAATGTTCCTCTGTCCCCTTGTGACTATTCACGATGAATTCAGCACATGGAGACAGGACTGAAGAGGAAATCTGACAGATGGGTGGGATGAGACTTGTGCACTTGCCGCTGACTTTCCCGTGTCGTCGTGAGCGTTGATGGGATAAAAGGATGAAGGACTCTGCAGATGTGAGGAGTTCTAACGAAGCCTTAGACTTCTGAGGTCTCTTCTTACAGAAAGGTCATGTCTCCCAGATAACAGTCAACCTGGATGAGAGAACGGAAGCGCTTCGCTACGGACAAATGAATCATGACACATGGGTGGACTGTTTTGCCATATTCTGTTTGCAGTTTGGCTGGTCATTCTCCCGTTTCAGAGAAATGTAACAAACACTTCTAAGGAAGTTTATATCCGTCAAAGGGGAAGACAAACTTGCTTTTGAGGTGACGAAATATTGGTGGCCTTATCTTCCAGAAAACGACAGCTTCTGACAGAAAAAGGACGAGCTCTTAGACCAGCTCTCATACCTCTGGTGTCAGTTTGGGAATTCACACTGTTGCCATGGTGATTCAAAGACTTGTCATTTCCACGTACCTATTACAATTTACAATAAAATTGTTTCTAAATGAAGCTCCCCAGATGGGATTTACTTTTTATCTGCAGTAATTTAAACCTCAAGCTTTAGTCCAAGTATGGGAGGAGATTCTTGGAATAATCTACCACCTCGTCAGGGGCATGTTCAGGCGTTGTAGGGAGGTCATACAGGCACGTGGAGGCCACATACACACACACACACATACTTTCTCTAACTGTTGGGAGAAGCTACACATGTTGAAACACTTCAGAGTTAAATGTGGACTTTTGTTTCCTTCACTAATCTGGTATGTAGTAAACCAGCTTTTATTTACATGATCAGAATAGACTTGTGTAAAACTTAAATGACTCATTTTTATTTATAAAAACTTCCATTTAATTAGGAACTGCTTTTGGTTTTTTGTGATGTTAAAGTAACTGTAGTTTCCCTGGTGATAGGGGCGGTAGATACCTAAATCATTGCAAGCATTATTTTTGTGTTCAAGTAAGACCTTACCAACAGATGATCATTAGGGTAAAAAATCCTTGGGAGTGGAACCTCCAGCAAAATAATAACATCAGATTCCCTTTCATCACTTGCAATGAGTGAAGAGGTAAATGTGTAAAATAATGTTTATTAATGCTGAAAGTTTTGTAACCATTTGTTACAAATCAGTAAATGCATTCTGTCCTCATGGATTTCCGTAGAAGGAAACATGGCATCCAATATGGCGTCAGCCAGAGACCGCCGCTCCCATGTATTTTAGACCTGATTTTTATTGTTATGTTATGAAACTGCCAATACTTTTCAACAGCTGGGTATCTTAATTCTTTCACTATAACATTTCAATGGATATTTCCAGAGATTAATAATAAAAACTACACATTGTCACTTTAAATCTCAAGGAGGGCGGAACTTAAGGGAGAAGATGCATTTAGAAGTACTCAAATTACTTGGTGCTGCTAAAACTAACTAGAACATTAGTATTTGAGAAAGAGATGTTGATACTAATAACTGAAACTGCTGCTATGTAATTTTACTTTATCACCCGCGCTACAGTCCAATACGTATTTAAACGGTTTATGCTTGAGTGATGAGGAATAGTGTTGGCGTTTCATACAGCCCGTGAAGGCAGCATCCTCGTCCCGCGTGATCGGCGTCACAGTCGAGATGTGCCTGTCATTTTAAAGGATAAATTACCAACGCTCCATCCAGTCCCATCTCCCATGCCGTTGTCAAGACGATGTCTGACAGCGACCGTTAGTCCGATTGTTTTGGGGGGATTTGCACCGATGACAACACCCTCTTAAAACAAAGAACCAAGCTCGATTCAAATTCACGATGGGAATAGTCTTACCAACTGGCAACATGTTTCTCATCTCGTTGACTTTGGCGCTGGTCGCCTTCGTCTCTTTCAGTCCTCCGGGTAAGATTATAGCTCAGTATGGAGGCCGCTGCTAGCAAACGGTGTCTCCCGTTAGCTGCGTAATGCTAATGCTAACGCGGTTCTGCTGCCTTCTGGCTTTGTCCAGAGACCCTAAACTCGATGTTTATCTTAGGCCTTGATAACTGAAACGACTCACTATTTAGTACAGCGATTCGGCATCAGCCTGTCTTAATTTGGGCTTTTAAATCCACTCATTTGCATTTTCTACACTTGTTTTGTTACCTATTTGCTTGCAAATGCATTTAAACATTCTAAATATAAATTTACGTAGGCTTTCTGGTTTATCTTTTCTTCAGAGACCCATCCAAACCAGCAATACGTTTTTTTATGCTTCAACGTTAAATTCTTGTTTTCACATTTCTTCGCAACATTTTCTAGTTTATTTCCGTAATCTAGTCGGAATTAGTTAAAATTAAACATCGTAGTTGGCCAAAATAGAAGCATTTATCAAATTGCAGCCAACTTCAGCCCTTAAAGGTCATCGTTCAGATTTGAGCGTCAACAACTTCAGAAGCCAAGTCTGTAGATCTTTGACGTGAGGTTGCGCTGCAGACATCTTTATTTCTGTCTTCTGGTTTTCATTTAAAATCGTTTAGTTTTAACTGTTGTGGGCATCTAAAGTGTCAACAGGAATTTTTATTTTGCTACTCCAAATCTCAAAACAACAACTAGTTTATTTTATTGTGACAGGGATGGTAACATTTTGTTTGAGTCAGTTTAATCTCGATCTTCACGTTTAAGTCTGATTCAGCGTTTCACTTCTGCCATGGGGGAGGTGTTGAATAATGCATCAGAGCTACAGCTGGTAAAAAGTGAGAAGTGTCAACAAATGTTTGAAAGATATTTATTTTTCATGAGGGTACAAGAAAGCGGACACAAACAAGCAGTCAGGCCAAAATAAGAAGAGATGAGTGCAAACATCTCAGGCGGCAAAGCTTCAGCTCCTGCCTGTTGTGGGTTTTCCATGCCTGTTGTGTGATCCTGCCTCTCCTGTTTTGCAGTCAGTGGGAACGAGGACTGTTTGTGGTACGTGGACAAAAATGGCACCTGGCACAATGGCATGGACTGCCCTCTCATCACATTCTGCTGTGGGAACTGCCACCTGCGCTACTGCTGTCTGGATGCCTTCAAGATGATCACAGAGAGAGAGCAGAAGCGCTGCATGCTCTTCCAGTTCAGGTGCGGGCAGTGGAGGCTGCAGGGTTGTAATTGAGTTACATTTTTATTAATTGATTCAGCTTTTTAGAGCCACTGCACAATCATCGGCTGCTGTTTTGGCTTTTAAGAGAACATTTTCTCAAAACCCAAATCAAGAGGTGGAATTTTTGTATTTAAAGCTAATCTGATCATATGCAGCGCAGTAGCTGCTCTTGTGTGAACGACTGTCACATCGACTAAATATGGCATGTGACTCGACTCTGCTAGTTTGTAGCGAGAGGCTGCAGCTTTTCTAGGTTTCTTCCATCCGTATCCAGCAGCGAGGGGGCAGCCTGCAGTGTGAATCCCAGTGGGAGGCAGAGATAAACTGGGGGTGGGGGGGCTTGCTGCTCCACTGAGATGAAGTGAGGGAATCTTGTGGAGACAGAAGGATTTGAGGTGCTGATCCCTTAGATATGATATCAGGGTCCACTCTGAAGCCTCTGCTCCCAGCTTTACTGTAATCTCCTCTAAGGTGACCGGTGATTAACCAGACAGAGCAAGAGGAGGTGATCAAAATCCGATCCCTTCTGACTTGAGCGCTGCTTCTTCTTCTCCTCTCAGCCCGACCACCATCGCTGGAATAGCTTCTTCCATTCTGCTGTTTGTTTCCATCATCGCCACAATGGTTTGCTGCTTCATGTGCTCGTGTTGTTACCTCTACCAGAGAAGGCAGCAGAGGGGCAGGACGCCTTATGAAGGTAAATTAGCTGTAAAAATGACCACTTCATTTTAAAGTTTCCCTTCCAAAGCTTCATGCACAACCTTGTTTTTCTGCCAGCAGCTCAGCAGATCCCCATGGCTAGCTACCCCGTGGAGCCCATGTACGATGCTTATGGAAAACCGCTCGGACCCTCGGAGTACCAACCTGCCGTTTACCCCATGGTGCCCCAGTATCCTGGCATGCACGTACAGTATCCCATGATTCAGCCGGTACCCTATCCACCACACCAGATGGACCCCGCATACAGCCAGGGTAAGAGCAGCAGGGTTTTAATAGTGGAGCTTTTGCATGAGCCAGCCTCTCCACTGGTTGCATAAGTGTCGTAACATAGTAGACGTGTTTTTCCTGCGATCTCAGCGGAGTGTCTCTTCCCACTTGGAGTGTCAGACGGCTATTTGCTGCATACTATATTTCGAGTCTAGTGGATAGAGTTGTCAGCTGGAGAAATTCTGATATTTGACCATCATGTTCTACATTCATAACTAAAAGCCTCTTTTAGTTTGGACTCTTCAGATAAGAAGCAAAAACGTCTTTAAAGGGATATTTGACCCAAAGTTGAACTTTTGTCTGTTGATATATTTCCCACAGTTAGATGAGTGGGGGCAAAACAACTTTTTACCAGCCCAGTCATTCTCCTGACCCAGCTTTACTCCTTTAGCTTAGCATAAAACACAGTAAGTGAATGGGTCCAACTAGTATTGTGAGTTTAAAAAAAGTCCTTAAAATCACTCAGTTTTGATTCCAATTCTGTTTGGTGACCTAAATAATCAGACTGACTGCAAGTGAAAATAATTGCTAACATAAAGGAATCACGGGGACTACTTTATGACAAAGCACAGCTGTAAACCTCCACTGAAAGGTGCAAGGTAGCCCCCACAGATGCACACGTTGCTAGCGAACTGGCATGCAACACACACACACACACACACGTGGACACACTAATTTCCAACTTATCTAACGCTGGGACTTATGTAAACAGACAAAATAAAAAATTTGGGTGGAAAATCCTTTTAAGAATGGGGGAATAAATGCTACGTTAATTCAGTTTGTTTTGACAGATTTAAAGTATTCAGAGTAAATGTTGTTTTCTCACCTGTTTTTCAGCCCCACCACCTTACTCTCCACCTCAGTATCCTGGTCACTGATGGGCTGGTCTCCATGGAAATGCTGTGAGAGTTGAGACTGTTTCAAAAGGAGAACCTTCTCTTACACACACACACGCACGCACACACACACACACTCTTGATGTTTATTTTCCTTTGAAGGAGAACAGCAGGCACTTTAAGTTTTCATCCTTTCCTCGTCGTTGTTTGTTTACTGCATCAACCTATTTTTCCACTCCTAGTGTAAATCAAATTTCTTGTTGTGTAATCGGAGTCTTGATGGCTCTGGGTGGGTGTCACAGCAGGCGTCATGTCATCATATAAGTGAAGAGGTATCCGTGTCTAGCTGCTTGTGGTGTTCCTCTGACTCACGCATCTCAATGACAGACTGTCAGCTAAAGACGGGGCTCATCAGCGAACCGAGGAAGAGGCAATCTGGACATAAACACACTCCTTTATTTGTGGAAAGTATAACTCTTACTTCCTAGATCCTGTTAGATTTGAAGTACTAATTATCTGCCTGTTTTGTCGTAACCTCCTTCACTGATCTGGAGTTGATGATTCTGGTCCGTTTATGGTGGAAACGCAAAAGCGAAGCTTCATGTTTGGGTCGTAGAAGGATGGGTTTTGTGGAGCTCTCAGCCCGGTGTGAGGAAACCTTTTTCCTACCTATTTGTCTCATCTGTCGTGTGACTCCTGCAGTTGTTCCACTCCTCTGCCTCATTCCTGCTCCCAAACGTTAACACGTTAGTCTTAAAGTCTGACTGACTCTTCCAGGTAGGAGTTCTGCTGCTTGATGTGAACAAACATCCCATCTCACAACAATTACCCATCAAAAGTGTTAATTTCAGTAGAAATGTTGTAAAACTGTTCCTCGGTTTAATATTTAATATTGTAACAAGTAGTTCTAATATCTGTGTTGTTGTTGTAACACGGGTTATGACGCTTTGACAGATTAATTTTTTACTGTGGGTTCTGTGAACAACTTCTGGAAATTTGCTTTATTTCATTTGCATGAAACATTTGAGTTTTTTCTTTGTGAGTTTAGACATGCAGATCGATTAGTCTTTCATAAAATAGTGATAAACACTAAAATCATACTCTAAAATACATCTAAAGTGGGACTCTTGTAGGATGCTCGGTGGTCTGTATCTATCGTGTTTCTAATACAGGTATGGAAATGGCTAATAATACTGAAGATGCAGCTACTTTGAACAACAGGGCCTTGTGCTCTATAATACCTGGTTATCATTCAGACTGATTAGCTGATGCATCATAACAGAAGCCAGAAAACAGGAAAAAAGTCCAAGTTTGATTTTTGGAATCCAAGCGACACGACTAGATCTCATTTTGTCCGTGTGTGTTTTAACCTCAGCTGACCTGTCGGAGCTCAGCGTAGGAGCAAAGTTACCTGGTACTGCTGTGACGTGACCCCGTAGAAAGCATTAGGAGGAGAAACTGGTATTTGACATTTACGACCTTTTATGACAAACGTAGTTTGCACTCCAACTTTTGATCTTATTATAAAACAGTTTAGTGGTTTTTAGTGAATTTTGCTTCCTTTTGACAGAACCAGATGTCGTTTCCAGTGTTTGAGCTAACCAGTCCATCACTCCGGTCTGTTGTGATTATTTCTAGTTATTTAATAACTTATTGATCTACTAAGCTGGACGCTTAACAGTTTGGTCTCCTTTTGATCTAGGCTGGCAAGAAAGCTTTTGTGTGGATTTCCCAGAATGTGAAGTTTTTTCTGTCAGGACTTTATTCTAACCTGTTTTCTGCCTCCTAATAAATACGTCCTCACCTTAACTACAGCTGGAGGCACATGTAGAAAACACTGGTGATTAAACCGAATTTCATCGTTGACCATCTTTCTGGTGTAAACGATCGACTCTTGTGCAGGTTAGTTGAAGCAGGAAGAGCGCTGGCATTTCCTCGTTGGAATATTCTCAATTATTATCTATTATGAGATTTTCTTAATGATGCTGCGGTTTGTTTCTGCTTCTAAACCAACTCCATGAGTGTGTTTTAATGAAACTGGCATTAGGTGGAAATGTAACGTGTCATAAGGATGGTATGACATTGTAATATAAAATGAGTGGAAAATAAATTATTTCTATTAACATAAAATTTAACTTTGGAATGTAAAGTTTAATTGTGTCTTGTGATTTTTTTTAAACTGGAAAACCAACATTTGGTAATGCAAGTTGGCCACTAGAGGTCACTATTGACCGGCAACCCTTCACATTAAATATACATAAAATAACTTATATTGATTTAGTGTTTTTAAATATAATTTCCTTTTATTTTTTTCAGAAAAATTACCCATTTGAAAGTGAGACTTACTGACTTATTTTTATATTGTCATTCGATTGATCTTTTCTGTATTTGACCAAAAATAAACCAGAATCGTTTTAAATTTTCTGATTTAATAACATCTACAATAATTCAGAATTTTAAATGTGGTATATTATTGTTTGTTCGTTTTCCTCCATTTATTCTGGTCCAGGTCGTGGGGAGGGCATCCCAGACAGCCCTCTCCCCGATCACCCCCACCAGCTCCTACGGCTGGACCCCAGGGCATTTCCGGGCCAGAATGGAGATGTTCTTACTCGAACGTGTCCTGGGTCGACCTGGGGGCCTCTTGGCGGCAGGACAGGTCCGCAACACAACCGCAGGAAGGTGTCCAAGCGGCATTCTGACTGGATGCATGAACCACCTCAGCAGGCTCCTCTCAAAGCGGAAGAGCAGCGGCTCTGCTCAGAGTCCCTCCCAAATGTCTGAGCTCCTCGCCCTATCTCGACAGCTGAGCGTGGTCACCCTCCGGAGGAAACTCATTTTGGCCGCTTGTATCCGCTATCTCGTTCTTTTGGTCACTACTCAAAGCTCGTGATCTTAGGTGAGGGTTGGGATGTAGATCGGCAGGTAAATCGAAAGTTTTGCCTTCTGGCTCAGCGCTCTCTTCATCATGACAGACCCGTTCAGCGTCATCACTGCAGATGCTGCCCCAACCCGCCCGTCGATCTCCCGCTCCCTGCAGTGTTTTATCTGTTTTTAAAATAAAATTCTGAATAAAAAGAATGCAAATATCTTAAAACAAAAACTTACCTGTCATGCAACAGAGTAAGCAGATGTTAAAACACTGAATTATTTAAAAAGTAATGCTCAGCATATTATTACTGTTAATGCATAGATCAGTCTTCCACTAAATAGCCAACAGCAGCTCAGTACTGTAATATTTTATATTTTATATCTTTTAAGAAGGTAGATTGGCATCTATGGAAGCAAAATCACGTGTCAAAGGATGATGTCGATCATCATGTTCCAAAATATTTTCACCATAATCAAAGATTGCTGCTGCATCCATGAATACAAGGGAAAAGATCACATGAGCCCAGATTCATGTTCAGCCTGGATATATTTGGACTGGGAAAAAAGGATGGTGAGTCCTTTGTATAAGATGTTAAATTTATATACTTCAAATAACATCTCATTCATTCATTTTCTTTGAATTAAGTTTGGGTAACACTTTACATTAAGGGTCCCTTTATAGATGTTCGAAGTACATTATTAAGAATAATAAACCAACAAAATATTAACAATTTCAAACCATATTATGTAAAACATTACTAAGCAGATGCTCCCACCGCACCCCCGGCCCTTTGGTCCTAACCTTATGGACTCTTTATAGTTAAAATTATTGGAAATGTTAAAGGGACCCTTTGTTTATTAATGCATAATAATGCACTTAGTTACATTAAAGGGACCCTTGTAAAGAATTACCTGTTTTTGTTTAAATTATGCACAAAGAATTGTAGCCAGCCTTATAAATATTAAACCAGTAATTAAGAGATCAGGGAGATTTTGTCTGAACACTTTTCTCCCATCACTGAATTTGGATCTCTGACATATTTACTCTCTTTCCACCTCATTAATGCATCTATTTGGCTTTATTAGTGATAAAATAGCAGATTTTGTCCCCAAATAAGATTTTAAAATAAATCATCATCTGTCCTCCCGTGTAAACACAGATTGTGTAATAGGAAGTCTGCTGTGTGAACGTCCGCCCTTCCCATTACCTTTAAAGGAGAGTGTACCCTGGACTAAATATGGACATGCACTTAACAGGATTTCCAAGAATGTCCCAGCCTCACTCTGCTCTTTGATGATGGGAGCCTCTTGCACTTCATCACTGCTACCCCTCACTGCAGGACGGCGACTGCAGCCTCTTTGCTGCAGGATTGATGCTTTTTGGTGAGGGGGACGCGACAGGAGAGGACAGCAGCGACTTGGTGCACAGGGACAAGACGAGAGAAGCTTTTTGATTCCCGATAAAGGGATTTACTAGTTGGCATCGTTACCTCTTCTGAGGAAAACGTCACTGTAATGTCTAGGCGAAAGGTGAGAGGCCTGACCCGTACGGGCCGACAGATCAGCGAGGACCCAGACCTGGACAACTTGCTGTCCACCCTGTCTCCTGAGGAGGTAGAGGAGCTGGATAAAGACCTGATGAATGTTCCAGACATCGGCCTGGAAGATGGGAAGACGACCATCCAAACACAGCAGCCTCCGAGCAGAAGTGTCCAAGACTCAGACACACGAAGTGACGCCAAGCGGAGGCTGAGCCAGAGGGAGCAGTCATCTGAGGTGAGTGAACAAACAGCGCAGCGGAGGTGAGACCTGTATGAATAGATCTGTTTGTTTTCTAAGTGAGTGATAAACTGCAGGGGTATTTTACTGAAAGCTGTTCATCACTGGATTCATAGCAGCTGGGCCTTATGCACCCCGAGTCCATTAGCTCTAAAATAGTCCCTCCCAAAGGTCTCTTCTGTGCCATGGAAAACGTTGTTTTCTCCTCTGAGGCTTGTTTGTGTCCACACCGCTCTCCATCATGAATAGAAGCAGAGAAACAACCTCTTGCTAGCCACCGGGACGTTTCCATCGTTCGTTCCTCTGACGACACGCTCGGCTTTTTCACATAGGGACACCAGAAAGCCCTCCTCGGTAAAGAGTCCAGGAGCGAGATTTGTGGCAGTTTGTGTGCTTAAAGGAGAAGCAATCCAGTTGGATGCGAAGCTTCTTAATCCCAGCCTGATGGAATTCCTTGGTTGATTGCTCCTATGTTTGCTGCCTTTTAAGGATACATCTGCCAGAGCCTCACACTGCAAAGCAGCACACTCACAAATCAAACGAGCTACTTGCTTCACAAGCGTTCCAGCCCTGTTTAAAAAAAAGAAGTAAAAAGGCTCCCTGTCCTTTTGCTGAGTGTAAACACACATGCCATATTGTGTATGAGAGTGTTTACAGTGACTAGATGGATGAAGAACAGTTTCACGGTGGAAAAATACAGGATTTACAGAAGTATTTGCATGATTAATCATCACATATTGTGTGCAAGTGTAAGATTGTACAGCGTTGAGGCAATAAGTCATTGGAACAACGAGATGCATACATTTTTGTTGAAGTGATTTGTGTTTCTTTGCATGCAATCGTGTCACACTGCTCCTCTTCCTCTTCCTGTAGGGGGAACCAAAGAAAGAAAGCCGGAAGCAGGAATACCTGAGGAAGATGGGCCTCAGCCAGGAGGGGAATGACGACATGAAAGTGGGAGCACGAAGACCACCGAGCCTCACGGCGGACAGAGACATCAGGGTGAAGGACAGAAATGGCAAAGGTTCTGAAAGTGTCAGAGAAGAGCAAAGTTGGCGTTCGAGTCGTCTCAGAAAGCAGGAAGACAGAGAGAGTTCCTCAAAGGAGGAGATTAAGGAGAAGGACAGACACGAGGACTACAGGTTAAGAGAAAGGAGAGACAACAGAGAGAGCACAGGCAGTAAAATGAAGGACATGATCTCCAAGTTACAGGACAAACAGGATGAGGGCAAAGAAAAGGAGCGAAAGGAAGACAGCAGGAAGCGAGATGAAAGCAAAACCAAAGACATCATCTCAAAGCTACGAGAAAAAAGTGAGAAGGACATTGGGAAGGAGAGAGAGAGGAAAACCGAGAACATCAGGACGCAAGGGCTCGTCTCCAAAATGGTTGAGAAGCAAAGCAAGGTGTCTGAGAGCCAAACACAAGAAGTTAAAAAGGAAGAAAACAAGCCTGGAGTGGATGGGGAAAAGGCCAAAGACGAGAACAAATCTGGTGTCCAGCTGCAGAGGCAGCTGTCTGAGGAGGCTGAGGTAAAACGAGATAAGCTGGAAAACGGAAATAGAAGAGAAGAGCTGCTTAACCACAGTGACCATGTGACAGACACAAAGATAAACACAGACAGGAAAGAAAAAGACGACAGTAAAGGGAAAACGGAAACAGGAAAACTTGACAACTGTGTGTCCAAAAACAGCCCAAACAGTAAGGTGAAGCGGGACGAGGAGGACGATGAAGACTCCAGCATGTTCGATGAGCTGCTGCAGCAGGTCCGAAGCAACGACCCTGCCCTCACTGAGCTCAATGTCAACAACTCAGAGGTCATCAAGACTAAGACACTCATGGAGTTTGCAGAAGCTCTTCACAACAACAGCCACATTAAGACCTTTGCTCTGGCCAACTGTCGCGCAGACGACCATGTGGCTTATGCCATCGCCGGCATGCTGCGCAGCAACAACACCCTCACCAGCGTTAACCTGGACTCCAACCTTCTCACCGGCAAAGGCATCCTGTCTCTCATCCAGGCGCTGCAGTACAACTCCACCCTCACTGAGCTCCGCTTTCAAAATCAGCGCCACATCTGTGGAGGGAAGACTGAGATGGAAATGGTCAAGATCCTGAAGGAAAACACCACCCTGCTGAAACTGGGCTATCACTTCGAGCTGGCGGGGCCGAGGATGACCACGACTAACATACTGAGTCGCAACATGGACAGACAACGGCAAAAGCGCCTGCAGGAGCAGAAGATGGCCCAGGCTAACGGGGAGAAGAAGGGGGCCCTAGAGGTGCCCAAAACTTGGGGTGGAGGATCTCAGAGGAGTTCTCCGATATCCTCCCCAAAACCGTCTCCCATCCCTTCGCCGATGCCTTCACCAAAGCTGACGCCTAGGAGGGGAACCGGGGCCCTGCCTCCGCCACCACCTCCACCACCACCTCCTGGCAGTGGGCCTCCGCCTCCTCCACCTCCCATGCTGGATGGAGACCGCTCAGGTCGCAGCAAGAACTCAAGGGACCAACTGCTGGCCTCAATCAGAGGAAGCAACGTGAAACAACTGAAGAAGGTAAGAGAAGTTAGAGCAGAAGAATGAGCTCCATCACACTGACTCGCATCTTGTTTTACCTCCAGGTGCCAGTACCAAAGTGGCTGCAGTGAGATTGTCTGATGGAACGTATAAAGACGGGGGGAGGGGGCGTACATCTCACCACAGGTTTTCTCGGAGATGAACTCTACGTTCCTGCAGCCGGTTGGCCGAAATATGAAATCCCAGCCCTCACTATGAGTTCTCCTCTCAAACACTGGACCAAAGGGACATGAGAATGAGTGATGCAGGGGCTCTTCACAAGCAGACTGCAGAGACCGCCAAAGACTCTCGGTCTTCTGTTCATATCGATGCTTCTTCTTCTTTTTGCACTAGATTATGTAAAGATGATCAGATAACGTGTTGTATGTGCCTCTGAATGTGAGTGTGGTGGGAGCATGCGATCAGCTTCAGACAACTCTATAAAATGATAAAACTACATGTGGTGAATGTTCACCTGACCATTTATTTATTAGTGGGAGGATCCGCGTTTAACTGGTCAGCTGTAATTATGTTTAAAGTGGGTGGAGACATCAGGGAATTAAACATGGATCCCTGGTTAAGCCCCCGGGGGGGGGGGGGGGGGGGGGGGGGGGGTCTCATGGTGGCCGTTGATTGTGCATCACATTTTCAAATCTCAAGACATCTCAGACGGTTTTGGAAGGAAGCCCAGGGAAATAAATGAAGCACGAGGAAGGACTTTTAATGTTGAGAAAATTACGTAAAACCACTGTCCGTCCGTGTCTGGTGTTTTATTTTTGTGCAGAATCGTTTTAGCCCGGTTGCCTTGCTTTATTGCTTTGCGATGCAGCCATGTATCTCCGCTTTACCAGGTAGTCGTGGAACTCTTTCAAGAATTTTCTCTTTATTTTCTGTGCAATGAAACAGCATGTCTACTTAAAAGAGCTTCAAAGAAACGAAGAATCAAACATGTTTATACGCCCGTGTCTGATGGAGCCTGTATGCCTTTAATAAAAGATGTTGGTATGTTTGTGAGTGAACATTGGACTTGTTCATCATGTGTATATATATATATATATGTATATATATTTATTTATTTGTTTGATAAAGAATGATAGCTTAGCGGCTGGTTTATGTTCTGATCCACTGTGTACATTCCTCCTCAGATCTAGGTGTTGCTTGGAAAGCCAAACAACCACAGTGCTATATTAGACTCACGCCCATACATAACAACTGATCTGCAACACAAATTACCATTTGAAGTATTTTTTGTACTTTATGTGAATCTGGAGTTTTCTTTTTTCAAATAATCATGCAGATTTGGGATTTATTAAAGTCATGAACCCAATTTCAGTACTGTAATTGAACATTTTGGAGAGACGACACATCCAACACACACTTTTAGAAATTAAATGTTGAATTTACTTAACCCTTTGATGCATAATGGTCACTACAGTGGACAGGTACTCAAAATTGTTATTTATTTATTTTTGCTATTAAGCACAGATGTTGAAGACTTTATTGCATTTGAGCCCCTCCATTTGGACTTCAGTAAGTCAAGCCAACATATTTCATGTTCAGAATGCACGCTGTCCACTGAGGTGGACATGTAATAAACCATGTGTAAATTATTAAATGTTACAAAAAATATTTGTTGAAATTTGTTTCATTCACACCTAAAGATGAAAGAAAAAAATTGCTAAAAAAATCATGGTTGAGGATTTCATCATTAATGCATCACAGGGCTAAGCAAGTTGTGTCAACTGGTTTCACTAAACCAATGAAAAGAGTAATACACACATTTCTTTTAAACGTAAAGTAAAACAATTAGCAATTGCAGAAAATATTGATATTATGTGTTTTGATACTGAATCATTAATGTGTAAGGATTTTTTATCAACAGTTTTCATGCAACTAATTTAGTTTCTGCATAGAGTCTATTTTTTCCAGATGCCACATGCGGTTTGTCAGGAAGCTAAAGAACTGACATGAGCCAGACAGGAAGTGAGACATGTTTTCAGCAAGGGGCATCCACCATCCAGTATTTTTCAAAATAAACCTGTGCTGCATTGTTTTTTCCAGCTTTTGCTTTATTATTAATGACAGAGATATCGGTTCACAGCAGGGACGTAGTATTTTGGGGGGGGGGGGGGGGGGGGGGGGGTCCCCTTCTTTTTCCAAAGTCATTTTTTGTCCTCTGCACTTTTTAACCATCCAAAAACAAAATTACACTATTCTAAATAGACACGGGTGGAGCACTAGGACCAAGCAGAAAACAACCGTTTGTGTTGAAGCTCGTTTCCCATTAGAACCTACAGTAAAGATACCCCCCCTTCCCAAGTGTTCATGCCGGTTGTGTGTCCCCCACTTCTAAAGTCAAAACTACGTCCATGGCTCAGAGTGTATGATGGTTGATGAGCATTTTGTTTAACATCTCCTCTCCGTTCATGTAGTTGTTATTGCATCAACTCACCATTAAATTTATGGAGAGTTGGGAGTTTTCCTCTCCACTGTCGCTTTATGCTTGCTTAGTATGAGGATTGCTGTATAGTCACTGACACTAGTAAGTGACTTGATGCAATTTGCTGGGTTCCTTATATAGGAAAAATTATTTCAGATTGGCTTAATGAACTGTCCTGAATTGGAATGTTTATTATGTGAAGTACCTTGAGACGACTCTTGTCGTGATTTGGCGCTATACAAATAAACTTGAATTGAATTGAATTGAATTGAATTGAATGGAGATGTTCCAAACATGATGTGCAGTCAGTGTGAATGGCAGTCCACCTGGAAGCCATACGAAAATGAACCACACACATTGTTTGTGTAAACATGGCCTTACTCCTTATTCACACAGAGTCCAGAATTGTTCCATAAACTCAACTTTTCAATTTTTAAAGTGGAGATTTTCTTTCATGTGTTCTACTTGATGCTGTTCATGTGAAGCTGCATGGCAACTCTGGCTGAAAAGGTAACCATCATCTGAGCATACTCAGACATGGAAAAGGGGAGCATGAGCATTACCAGCAACTGTTTATCTCTCCAAGCACTGCTTCAGCCTCTGCTTCCATATTTGGTCATTTCTCAATGAGAGTTTGCTCTGCAAGTCATTCCTTTCCCCCTTTCTAATAATGGGCTGCATGCCAGCTGTCTGTCTCTTGGCTGTAGCTGCTCCTCTGACCAGCAGCGTCAGTCTCTGATGGAGAAAAACAGGAGAGGGAATGAAAACATTCCGTTAAATGCTTTAACACTAACACACGGGCTTGCAGAAAAATTATGTCAACGTTTAAAAGCAGAAAAGAACTTTAATAGTACCAACTTGCGGTTTATAAGAAGTTTGTATTACAGTTTTTTTAAATGCCTGGAACATTCATTTAACCATTTTTTATGAAACAAAGAACAAAGTGGATTTTTTTCCACAGCTTTACCCTGTCAAATCAGGAAAACTTGAAGGTATTAAAGCTGCTTTAAGAAACTTGGAAAACAAATTAGCTTAAAACATTTTTTCATCCCTTTTTACAATCTTCTAACATAGTATGGCTATAAAATATTATGTAGTAAAAAGGGTGGCTTTTCTGAGGAAAATAGCATATAAAACATTTTTTCAGTTATTTAATCTTTTTTAGTTAAGTACATAACTCCACATGTGTTCATTTGTAGTTTTGATGCCTTCAGTGAGAGTCTACCAACGTACAGTAAATGGTCATGAAAAATAAAGAAAACATATTGAATGAGAAGTTGTATCCAATCTTTTAGCCTGTACTTTACACACACACATATGTGTGTGTGTGTATATATATATATATATATATATATATATATATATATATATATATATATATATAGAGAGAGAGAGAGAGAGAGAGAGAGAGGGGGTCATATGAAAATTGTTACATCTATAAAACAACATTGGAGAAAACAGAGCATGAACATGGAGCATGAATGTGACACTGTCAGAAATCTTTCCGTGAATCTTTGTTCCGTTTGGTATAATCCTAAAAGAGAAAAACTGCATTGTTTTTATAAACAATCTTATCTTTACAAAGTATTATTAGTATATAGACCTACATACATGTACATATGCCTAGTCTCACCCAATGGCGTTTAAAAATTATCTTCCGTTTTACAAAAATGTTTGAAACTAATTCTCTTGCAATTAGGCTTTACACATTCATAGGACAACTTAATTTTTATCGATTTCCTTCTATTTAGTATTTGTTTTTCTACTGGTTTGGTTTTCCATGTTTGTTTCATTTGTACTTTGTACCTCTTTTTATTTTCGCCCTTATGTGTTTTAATATATATGTCACTACAAGGTTTTGCTTCTCTTTTAATTTAGTGTCTTGAAGGAGCGTGATTAAAGTCCTGTGTTGAAAATTTGTCATTGTTCATTTTTTTTCAATAAAGTTTTTCTTTTTTAAGGAAGAAGTGACGTTACGTTACGTCAGTGGTAACAGCTAAAGAACAAAATGGAGGAATATGCCAGAGAGCCGTGGTAAGTTTCAAAATAACGATAAATGTTACAGTTTACGTTGTTTTAATAAAATTAGCCAATTTTATCTAATTTAAAATGAGCATTGCATTTAGTTTTCATCTTTATATTTATTGTTAAAGCTTGTGGCACATCCCGATACACCTGGAAAAAAAAATACCGGCTGGCCAATTTAGCTCAAATGCTAATTTCTCCTTGAGTTTAATGGGCTTTTGTGCTAGCATCAGAACGGAAAGGCTAAATCACGTTGTTGGTGACCTTGCCGTTTTTCTCGTCCACATGTCATCAAAGTAAATTCAGGAACTGAAGTTACGCTTTGTGAATTATAAGTGTCACAGTTTATATTAATCACTAACAGCATTTATAAAAGTTATCGTCTTCAGATATTGTTAGGCTATTAGACATTGTTGATGTAGCTGTTAGCTCAGTTAGCCACCAGTGTGCTAACCATCCGGATATTACACAACTTGTAATTTAAGACAAAATCGTATGATCAGACATATACATATCAAACGTTCTGAGATACTCCTATTGAGTTATATTAAATATGCCTGACACTGGAACACCTTAGTTGTCTAGCTGGGTCATCTTTATAAAAACAGGTTTAACAAGATATCATTTAAAATTTGACAAATGCTGTTTTATAGCAAGACATTTTGAGGGTTAAATTAGGTTAATGTTTGAAATCCAAGACAGGGAAAAATGCCTTTTAATCATTTCCAGTGAGAAGAAGTTGGCTTTATATGTCAGCTGTTAGTTTGCTGCTATTGAGTGTTTTAAAACTGTTTATGATGCTGCTTTGTTAATCCACTCATACAATGATCTCTCTCAATAACTGGGATCTTAGTATTGTAACACATGTAATTTGTTCATTTTTGTTCAGACAAAAATGTCAAAAAACATACTTTGACAGGTATGGCAGATTTGTAGAGTTTTTGTAAAGCTGAACATTTCTAAGTGTAGTAAATGAAGTGTAAGAAATGAGCTCAAAATTTCATCAGTCTTCAAATTGTGTGATGAGAGTTGCGTCATTCTTCAGGTGTTATTCTAAACCAAGTCCAGGTTCAAAGACTTGACTGAAAAAATAGTCTGACTGAATCAGACATGAAATTTTTTCAGAAAACTTTATTTTAGAAAAACTGCATGAAATTGGTTCTTGGATGTTAAATATAAATGAGTTGAAGAAAAACTTAGGGGGTTATCGCTCAATTTCTGTCATCTGTTTTCATAAGAGTGGTTACCAGAATTATTCAAACATCACATAAACAGAACAGTTTAAAAGACATAGTTATCAGTGTCTGTGTACTCTGTCACCAGACCTTTTGCTGTGTTTAATAATTCACATTTTGTTCCTCTTTGGTATAAATCAAACTCTTTTAAGCATTTCTATTTGTTGCACCTATCTCTATTTACAGTTCTGGCTGCAGGGCTAGTAGGGCTGGGGGTAAACGATTATTTTTAAAACGATTATTCTGACGATTATTTTATCGAATAGTCGACTATTCTAATGACTATTTAGAAAATTAATCTAATGATTATTTTTCTATTGCACAATTAACAAAAACCAGAAAATCTCAAATAAATTCCTCAAAAAAATTGATAAATTCTTACTGTAAGAGAATAAACACTACAGGCCTTCCATTTTGTATAACACTGCTTTTATTGTGTTGCGGTTGGTTATGTTCTGATGACGTGTAGAACTTGGGAGTGCAGGCTGCTGCCTGAGAGGTGGTAGAAGATGGAGTGTCTCCATGCTGCTTTGTTTTGGTCACTTATGTGCGTGAGGCGAGTGGTCTTACGGGTTAAACCAAACTCAGGTGATATTTTACACAAAACCGAAAACCCACAACACTCTAAATGTAATAAAAGGGAGATCTACACCACAAAAAAGATGAACTCTAAACCAAAACGTAACGGCTTATCCCAACGCAAGAAGCTGTTAGCGAAGATGCTAACAGTAGCTTTACCAACGTTAAGTTCAAGTTACCAAGTTTAAATAAACCAAAAACACCCAGCAGCAAACAGACCAGCACAGAGGAGAGACTGCTACCACCAAAACAGCTCTCCTCATGTCTGAAAGAAGCTCCTTAATGAAGGGAGAAGCGCTCCCGGTGATTTTCTACATCTGCGGTAGGCACGAAGCAGCGCATCTGACCCCGGAAGTTGTTGTCCGTTGCCGGGAGACGAAGGCGGGCAAAACAGGAAAATAATCTAGTAGTGGACGGACGTTGTTCCGGGTCTTCGGTATTTGGCGGAGATGTTAAGCTTGGTTTATGCTTGACGCATTCACTTTCCGCGCGGTGATGCGGCTCGCGGCTGGAACGCGCTTCACAACTCGCAGCGTTTATGGTTTGTGCGGCTTGTCTCTGCGGTGAGCCAATATTCTCCCAAACTGTAGGGGGCAGCATGGAGCTCTACGGCATGCATCCAACACTACACCATAGTAGAAGTAGAAATGACTGTTTACAACATGGCATTTCAGCATTTTTAACAGCGTCCTCGTCTTTTCCGACAGTGCGAGCTATTTCTCTCCAAGAATTATTAACAACATGTTGATCACGGTGATCTCTGAGAGCTGAATCATACAAATGTCTGTATTTACGAACCTCTGCCGTGCCGGTCCGCCATGTTTTTCCGCGTCCGACCGTCCGCGTGGTTAGAAATTTTCCGAGGTGCGCGTTGCGGAAATCTTGGGCCGTGCGGAGACGCGGTGGAGGGGCGTGGTTGTTAAAATGACGCAAAATGACGCAACTTTTCCGCGCGGAGCCATGCGGACCTCGCGGACGCGTCAAGCATAAACCAACCTTTAGTGAAGGCGGAGAAGAGGGCGAACTAGAGGAAAAACAGGCAGATTCTTCCTCTATTTACAAACTCCTGGGGATGCAACAAGTGGGCGCGGTGCGTCGACTTCCGGATCTGACGTCGACAAATTTTTAGAATCGAGCCGTCGACTTCGTCGAGGCTTCGCTACAGCCCTAAGGGCTAGGGATCGCTCATCTCAGTAAACTCTTCCCTAATTACATCTCTTTTTTTCCCCCCATAAAATTGACACAAAAAAGTTTTTTTCTTGAGGCTTCATAGTTTGTTTTAATCTCAATAGTTCTGTGTGTCCCGTATAGTAAATGCTACAGTTCCAATTAAGACTGTGTGTTTATTTGAACTTCAGCTTGGAAGCACACACTTCAAACATCATCCATGACTGTGTTGCATTTTAACACTAAAATAAAGTTTTCTTGAGACTTTTTTTAGATCAGAATTTTGAATTCTGTTTTTTACTTGTAGCCCCTGGAGGATTGTGGATGACTGTGGTGGAGCTTTCACCATGGGAGCTATTGGTGGAGGAATTTTTCAGGCTGTGAAAGGCTTCAGAAATGCACCTTCAGTAAGTTAACCAACAGTGTTTTACAGGGTTCCCTTTTACACACTCACATGAAGACTAGCCTTGACATTTAATGGCTTGGTCAAGGATGCTGGATGGGTCCAAATCCAGGGATAGTATCCTAGTAAGGACCTGGATTACCCGGTCTGTTGGGTTGGGCATCGATTGGAACCGGGACTAACCGTCAGTTTTTTCCAGAATCGTTCAGATTTAAGGCTGCTGACCGGAAGAAGAATCTGTTGTCGATCTCCGTGAAAAAAGCATGATATGCAAATTCTGATCAATGCCTTTCAGAGCCGATCATACCAGCTATCTTTCGGTCCTACTCGCAGCCCGCAGAGACCCTGAGAGCAGCATTGCGTCCCCCCTCCTTAGCCTCACACTGCGCAGGTGCGCAGCGGCTAAAATGTAAACAAACTTGTCTGCAGAACTTTTACTCTGTGATGTAAACTTTAATTCCTGCAGTGAAAAATGCATCGTGGAGGAAGCTCGTAAAAATGTGTTAACATAGTGGATTTAATGAAAATTTTGAAGAACAAACTCCAGGCAGTGTGAGGTGAGTTTGGCTTCCTGCAGAAATAAAAACACGGAGCATCAACAGTCAACTGCAGCCACTCACCAACACTCATCTGTGTGAGCGTGACCGTCGGAAGACTGAGCAAATTACCTAGAGCTAGATCAGCCGTTCTCTGTGGCGGATGACTGACACCGATTTCTAGCCACTAGTCTGTCCTTGATATTTGGGGAAAACAAGGACACATTTTGAGTTTCCTTCATATTTGGAAGGCCTTGTCACTTTTCTGTGGCATAATCAACCTTAAAATGTGGCCTTGAAAGGATGCAGCCTCTGGATTTATGCACAGCCCCATAAATGCAACTAGAGGGCTGTGGTCTGTGTTTATCTGAATCAGAAAAGTTGATTGTAGTTTTTAGATTTTTAATTGTATCTAGAAAATCACTTCAACTCCTGAGCTGAGAATCATTCAGCACTGATCCATGTTTCGTCCTTTTCCAGGGGATGAGTCACAGGATGAGGGGTAGTTTAACCGCCATCAAGACCAGAGCCCCACAACTAGGAGGTAAGAGAAAAAGAAGATCAGAAACAAGGGATGTATGGGTTAGGGTGTATTTGAACTTATGCAACTGAAGTGTTGAGGGCATTTTGACTACGTCTCCTGGCCTGGTTTGGTCATGTGAGCTGCAGATCTAAGGCTAAACTTTTATAAATTATCTCATGGGCAGACCACAACAAACCATCCCCAAACACGCTGCTGAAAGGACGAGGAACACTGCAAGGAACATACACTTCTGGAAGGTGTTACACGGTGCCTATGGCAACCAAATATATTTATAAAAAGTAATTTGTTCCCACTGCTGTAATAATCCTTTACCAATGTAAATAAGCTCCAACCATAGTACACAGTGTCACAATGAGTGTATGTATTTATGAATGTTTTTTGGTCCTGGAGAGTCAAAGAAAAATGTCCACTGCGGTGTTCAATAAAGTTCTGTTCTATTCTACTTAGTTGATTAAATATAAGCAATGTACACACATGCTAAGCTAGGCTAATTGCTAAGCGTGATGCTAAGATGTGTGTAATAGTTGGTAATGTATTCTTTCCTTTTTTGTATATTGCACCTATGATGAAACATTTTTCAAAAATCTTCAGATGAGAAAAGCGAGCCTTGGAGGAAGATTCCTGTTTTGTTTTAGTGGTTTGCTAGCTGGCTAGCTACACATAGCTATGTGCTGTGAGGACAGCATATTTTCATTACACAGAGAAACATCCTACTTTTCCACAAGTTGAGTAAAATAAAAATAAAACTTCAGATCTGTGATATTTTGACATTTTGAGAGAGAAATAGCTACTAAAGAGTCAATGTATAATATGTGCATGGTATGAAGTTGGGTCACTAAAAGAGTAAAAATCAATACTTCTTCGTCTTCTTCGTCTTCCTCCGCTTATCCGGGTCCGGGTCGCGGGGGCAGCATCCCAATTAGGGAGCTCCAGGCCGTCCTCTCCCCGGCCTTGTCCACCAGCTCCTCCGGCAGGACCCCAAGGCGTTCCCGGACCAGATTGGAGATGTAACCTCTCCAACGTGTCCTGGGTCGACCCGGGGGCCTTCTGCCGGCAGGACATGCCCGAAACACCTCCCCGGGGAGGCGTCCAGGAGGCATCCTGACCAGATGCCCAAACCACCTCAACTGGCTCCTTTCGATCCGGAGGAGCAGCGGTTCTACTCCGAGTCCCTCCCGAATGTCCGAGCTCCTCACCCTATCTCTAAGGCTGAGCCCGGCCACCCTACGGAGGAAACTCATTTCGGCCGCTTGTATCCGCGATCTCGTTCTTTCGGTCATTACCCAAAGCTCATGACCATAGGTGAGGATTGGGACGTAGATCGACCGGTAAATCGAGAGCCTGGCTTTCTGGCTCAGCTCCCTCTTCCCCACGACAGATCGGCTCAGCGTCCGCATCACTGCAGACGCCGAACCAATCCGCCTGTCGATCTCCCGATCCCTCCTACCCTCACTCGTGAACAAGACCCCGAGATACTTAAACTCCTCCACTTGAGGTAAAAATCAATACGGATATTTCATTTCAACTCCATTATCAGCTGGTATTAATGGTAGGCCGCATGTCGAACATCCCTATCAAAACATCTTTATATAGTTTTTTTTTAAATCGCATTACTTGCAAACTAGTTGGCATCATGTTGTTTACATGAAAGTGATTTAAGTAAACCTCTTGCTTGCACTTTTATATTTCACTTTTTTCTTGCTACAGCCAGTTTTAGCGAAATGAATTAGCTGATAATCTCAAGTCACCTTATAACTTTTATTTATGAAATCCAAAATAAATCTATCTGGTGCCTCCTATTTAACATTTGCTTGGGGGTTGAGTGTCTTTTTTAGGAACCTATACTCGGTGAACGTTTTAAAGTGTTTGTGAATGTGTGTGTTGCAGGTAGCTTTGCTGTGTGGGGAGGCCTTTTCTCAATGATCGACTGTGGTTTAGTAAAAGTCAGAGGGAAGGAGGATCCCTGGAACTCGATAACAAGCGGGGCCATGACAGGAGCTATCCTTGCTGCGAGGAGTGAGTACATGCCTTCTGTGGACGCACAACCACAGAAGGCATGTGTATAAAATATGTGTTTCTCTGTAGATGGACCAGTTGCTATGGTTGGCTCTGCTGCCATGGGAGGTATTTTGCTGGCGTTGATAGAGGGCGCTGGAATCCTGCTCACAAGATTTGCTTCTTCACAATTCCCCACTGGTGAGTAACTTTTGTCCCGTAAAAACACTCGGCAGAGATTGTGGGATGTTTTTCTGATATGCATTAGGTACGCCCGGTCTCAGTGAACATGTTTTTATATTTTTAAATGTCAATGTTGGTTGTCTTAAGTAAAACCCTAAAATTAAAGGATGATGTCTGCTCTGGCAAAGAGGGACATGTTGGCTGGGCTTGTTGCTACTCAACACCTGACATGCTTGTTTACTTTACTGCTAATGGTGTTTGCTCACCAACAGTCTTGTCTCCATGCACACAGGAATATGCAGCCCATTTAATAGTAGATATTTATAAAAGATACTTATATGTTTATCACCTGTTTTCATTTGAACTGGTGGCTTTTAAATGTTTTAATAATGTAGTGTGTAATTGTAAAGTAGAATGTCAGTTAAAAACGTGAGATTTTATTTGTGATCATTGATATAAAATACAAAAATGGGTGATTTAGACCTGGGCTTCCTCAGTGGTGTATGGTGGCCTGCCTGTGACTGATTTCTGTAGCGATGAGTATGTCACACTGTTTGTTGCTCTGATTGTTCGTAGCGTTGTCCAATAGGAGACGGGGACAGTTAGAATGGTAACCGTAGATTCTGCTCCACGACTGAGCTCTATCTATGGGTTGTTTCCAGACTATATATTTACATTTATAAAATGATATGCAAGGGTACTTTTCAGTAGTAATATAAGTAAGTAAGTTACATTATAATTAGACTTATTTTATTCCAATCATTGCTTAAATTTTAATGGTAAAAATGACACAAACTTCACTATAGGATAATCATTTGTGTTTACCAAAGATTTTCTTGCCTTTGTAAAACTTTAAAGCTGACAATAAACCAGAATTGTTTTCATGAAAAGTTATATTTGTATGCTTTGAAAATGAGGTTAGTCTGAATCAAACGGTAGTACGAAGCATGAAAATGCACATCAAGTGTATCTGGTCTGAAATGGTCAAAGCTGGGTTTAGACTTTTTGGTGATACACGGGAAGCTGTAGACCTAAAGTCTAGTTTCAGATCCACAGCTTCCTTATAGCCACAGTCCAGTTTTGGTTTGGGGCACTGGTTGTTTAAATCCAACCAAAGATCCTGTTGCTCTAGTACTAGGGGTGCAACGGATCATCTTTAATCCGTGATCCACACAGATCTCCTACTACGGTTCGGCACGCACTTGGACTGTGGATCGGTCATGTGTAGGGCCGAGGCACCACCTGTTCGATGGTCATGGCGGAGGGGAGGAGCTTGAAAAACCACCTGCATTGTTTTAAGTCTCATGTATGGGAGCATTTTGGCTTTCCTGTGAAATACAATATTACAAACAGCAAAATCAAACACACACATGCATGCACACCTCCAGTCTGGCTGCCGAGCGCCGCTCTCGCGTACCTCCGATCGCTGTGAATGGAGGGAGTGTGTGGCACATGCAAAATGCCTGGTACAATTATTACTTCACCGTGGTGGGACCTGTAATATTGTTGGAGACAAATCTGTAAAAGAGGTGGAATGAAAAATAAACAGCACTTCAGAAAGGTGAGGAAATTAGTGAAAGCAGGACACACAGGGAGTGTACCTGTGGCAAGCCGTTTTAACATTTAATCAGCAATCAGACCGCTCTGTAATTCCTATTTTTATAGCAAGCTGCAAATGGAGCAGAAGAAAGTTGCACTGATTGTTCTACAAAATAAAGAGCAAAGCTATTTGTCCTTTCTCTTTTTTCTGCTCATCCGAAAAATGATGCGATCTGTGACTGAAAACCGCGATTCGATCCGAACCGTGTGTTTTGATCCATTGCACCATTCTCTAATACTGATTTTATTTTTCTCTTCAGGACCCCAGTTTACAGAAGAACCTGCCCCTGCTCCTATTCCCACCTCCCCTTTTGGAGATTACAGACAATACCAGTGAGAGGACCATCTCACTCCCTTATTCTCTAGATCTTTCTGAATTCCTTGCTGAAGTTACAAAGAAGAAATGGAGAGGCATCACAACCCTCACTAGAAGCTATACTCGCCAATATGAGCTGAGCTGCCAGAGAGTTGAAAGACGGACATCATCTTCATCGTTCTTTTTTCACGAACCATCTATAGATCTGCCTTTTGCCATTCTCTGCCTTGTCATGTGCATCTGTGTCACCCGGCACGTTGAGTACAGACGTGTGGTGAAAGTATTTTATAATATTTGGGCCTGTGCGTGATGAGGCATGTTTTCTGGTTTCTACATGTAGAAAACATCACCCAGCAGATGAGCTCTGATAGTGCTAATAATAGTAAACCTGGAAAACGTAATGAATTATGTATGTAAACAGCTTGTATTCACTCATCTCGGTCTTTATCTGATTTTGAACACATCACATGCTTGGGTTGGCCAAACACACTTGGGCCTCTACTTTTTATTCAGCTACGAAGGCAGATCTATTGAACACACCACCATTCCTGGAATATTAGTTTCTTTTAAAGTGTTTTATTTATTGTAGATAATAAAGAGTTGTATTGGATTGTTCTGTTAACGGTGATTTTTCCATTCAACACTCAGTGTTCCAAGGACTGCTGCTGACAAGGAATGGCTCAGGCTCTTCATTTGTATAGAAAACTAAAGCAAGGGATTGATGCATATTGTATTCAATCTGTATAACAAATTGTACTTTGGTACAATAAAGTCATAAATTGTAAAATGCTTCTGTTTAAGACTCATTAGTACATTGATACCAGAAAAATCAGAAGTTGAACATCCATACCATCTGAACATGGCTTTGTTTACCCACTAGAGGGAACTCTTTGTAAAACATTCATGCAAACATTTTAGTGGTTTGCCTGCATACATTTGTGTAGTTTTCTCTTTTACAATGGACCAATGACACAAAGGATCAGGTTTTCCTTCTATTTTTATTTTCTCTTTAATAAAATGGATATTAACCATTTAATCACGAAAACTAAAAAAACTTCAAAATGACCACTAATGGTATTTTCTGTTTAAAATCCAAACGATACAAGTAACTCCTTTAGTGTTGCCTCAAAATACACAGAAAAGTTACAAAGACTGGATGGAAAGTTTTAATGGCAAAACTAAAAATAGAAAATAAGAATATTAAACCTGAAAATTAAACTTTCAAAACAAAGTAGGATGAAGCCAATGCTTATAAAATCCTGTTTTCCGTGTAACAATTACATATCCCACACACCAAATCATGCTCGATGTACGCTAAAGTTGCACAAACACCCAACATTGTAAGACCCTAGCTGTGTTCTATAAACTGCTGAAATTTTCCAGTTTTTTAGAAAACTTATCTAAGTCTTCAAACTTGGTTCCCCTTTGTGGGTTAGCTTGTATACATCAAAAATACAAACACTCCACCTATAAGACCTCCACAGAAATTGGGTCAACTAGTTTTTAGAAGGTTTGATTTTCAAACCTGTTAGTTTCCATTCTGTGAGTGTGAAATGACAAAAAACTGCAAGAGATTCAGTATGTCAGTTTGGACTATAGTGGAATGTAAATGTAAATTTTGTTGTTGCAATTTTTACTTAATTTCCACCAAAAAAATCTATATCACATTTTCTGAATTTCATTTCACTTGAAGTTTTACAGTCCCTCCACTGGCTCCCGGTAGAATATAGAATACAGTTTAAAGTTTTAGTCCTGACCTATAGAGCTCTTAACAACCAGGCTCCAAGCTACCTATCTGAGCTTTTATCCCCACACACCACCTCTCGGAACCTTAAATCCACATCTGAAAACCTCCTGGCTGTTCCTCGAACCAGACTGAAAACCAAAGGGGACAGGGCCTTTCAGACCATTGCACCCAGACTTTGGAACAGTCTACCTTCTAATCTCCGTCTCTCTAACACTGTAGAGGTCTTTAAAAATCATCTAAAAACTCACCTTTTCATCCAGGCGTTCCCTCCCTAAATGTTTCAGAATGATGGCTTTGTTCGGGTTCACACCTTCACTTTGTTTATACTCATGATTTTATTTTCTACATTTAACACTGCTATTGTTTTTCTGATGTTTTTATTGGTTAGTGGTATTTGCCCTGATCTTTATCATGTTGTACAGCGCTTTGTGATTTATATCTGTGAAAGGCGCTATATAAATAAACTTTTACTTACTTACTTTATTGTAATTCATTTAGTGCAGAATGAATTTATGAACACAAGAAATAAAGAAAACTGTAAACAGCAAAATATCAATAATAGAAATAGTAAAAATAGTAAAACAGCTGCAATAAATGGTAAAATAGAAACACTGTGTTTATTGCAAAACATACACTGCAAAATAGCCTTGAAAATAGCAAAATAGCCAAATAAACTGAAAAAAAAAACAACAACAACCTAATAGATGGTAAAATGTCAACATATACTAAAATAGCAATAAAATAGATTGTATAAAGCATAATAGACTAAAATATCAAAAGAGATTGAAAAATAGCAATGCTGTAAAATAGTAAAAGTATATAGTATTTCTTTCAATTCAACTTTTAATATATTAAAAGTTGAATTGAAAGAAATACTGAAAAATTGCAAAGAAATACACTGTAAGATAGCAAATGGCATTGAAAATAACAAAATAGACAGTAAAATATCCAAATAAACGGTAAAAACAATCGAATAGACGGTAAAATATCAAAATAGATTGTAAATAAGCGTATTAGATAGTAAAATGTCAAAATAGACTGTAAAATTACGAATACACTGTAAAATGGCAAAATAGCCTTGAAAGTAACAAAATAGGCAGTAGTAGAAAGCAATTCGTCATGCTGAAGCACCCTTGGATTTATGAAAACATCTATAGGTCAGTAACGTATAAATAATAGAGAAGTTGTTGCTACTTTCAATGTCATAGTAATAATGACGAAATAAATCCACAGTTTGTGTGTACATGTGTCAGTGTGTGTGTTCGTGACAGCCCATGTGTCATGCCCTTTTAAGAAAAAAGAGAAACAGTCAGGGTGACGTCCGCTGTGCTCAGACAAACGCTCCTGGAGGCGAACTCTAACGGACACTTGCTGAGTGGCGAGAGCGACAGCGAACAAGACACGGTGAGTGCGCTGCCAAACTTTACTACAAGCTAAACACGGTCACATAAGTCACTTTCGTCGGAAACGCGTGTCGTGTATAGCCGCTGGGCAGAAAACGGACTCGCCGGAGTGCACGGCGCGTTCTTCGTTTTGTCGGGTAATTGAGAAGACTTGTGACTTCAAGTGAAAAACCGGAGTGTGCACTCCCATTTTAGTCAAGGCCAGGCGGAAGGGCAGGTAATGTTAGCGTAGCGGCTGCGTAGTTTCCAGTTAAATTCATCAGAAGGTGGGTTGATTTACAGCGTTGTGTGTTTGGTTGCCATTTGTATTGTCAATTAAACCTGAGTGTTGCGTGCGTTTACAAGACTAGCTGTGCTTTAGTTTTAATTACATACACAGGGAAGGAATGTGTGGGCTAGTTAGCTTATCTGCTAACGAGCCGCAGCTAACGGTGTGATAAGTGTCGGTGCTTTGCAGAAAGCAACACCCCTGTCGATTAATGTTCCCTGGATAATCTGTATAAAATCAAGTAACTTTAGCTAATCCAGTATTTACTGTAGTAAAACGACGCAAATACGTTTGTCACTTTTGACTTTTATTTTATTCTACGTTACCAAAGCTGCCCTGAAAGACGTGTTTTCACAGGGGGTGCATTTCATGGCAGGAGTGCTCTTTTCAACACAACACCCCTAGCCAGTTAAGCCACCTAGTTAGCGGCATTTTGCTAACAAGCTTCATAACGGGACTTAGGGTAGTTGCTGGATTTAATTCAGATTGCTCGTGAACAGATGTTGCCTTTAATTGCCCGGATTGAAGATTGTAACATTGTGAGGATTTCAGGGTAAACAGGATTACGATTTAAACAACAGTTGATTAATGCAAAAATGTTGTGATAATCACCCAACGTCCATCGTTGCGTGGTGTAGTCAGAGCTACAGATTGCAGGGCATAGCATGACCTAGAATGATAAGCATATGTTATCGCTGTAAGCAAATTGGTTAGTGTGGCAGTGAGAAAACCCCAGAGATGCAACGAATTTCCCTCTTGTCTTGTGTGCACCCTATCCTCAAATAATAAATTATAAACACACAGCAGGTCAGATGTATTACGGACTAGCAAAGTTTCATGTGAAATATTGTTGCAGATAGGTACATTTTCCGCAAGACTATGCTTTTAAAGAGGATAATACACAACTCATTGTTTTCTACCATCCAATTGCTCAAGTCAGTCCTCAGATTTTACTATTTTGCTTAAATGTTAGGCTCATGTTTTTGATAAATCCTTTCAAACACTGGGTGTTTTTTTTAATTAATTTCAGTCCAACATCATTTGGCCATTCTGAGAGGAATATTAGTGTTTTGTGCAATCTGATTTTGACTTGGTAATAACAAGTTTTAAATCAAATCTTCAAAAAGCAAAATTCTTTTTAAATATGCAACCTTTTATATTTTTGAATTATTTTCTTGAGCCAGTATGTGCTAGAACAACCCTTTACATGGTTAATGAAATGTCACTCAGACCCCCGCCTCCTCCGTGGCCAGAATATCACACTTGCAATTTCAGAGTGGCAGGCTGCCACCTGTGTATAGCTTACAAACTGCAGTCTGCTTCCAGGATGTTTCCTGCATGTTTTAGTTGATGAACGTAGCTGATTTGTTCAGTTTCGTGACGAATCCCTCCTGTAGATCCCTCTTTTAAAATTATTATTTTCTAAGGGGAATAAAAGCAAAAAAGTGCATTCAGATACTGATCTGCTCTAAATTGCATACATTTGCAAAAAGATGAAAATAAGGGTTATTAACTGCTCTCTTCTTCTAAAACTAGTCTGCTGCCTGGAAGTCTTCAACAGGAACAGAGACTGGAAGAGTTATTTTAGTTGGTAGCTACTCCTTTTCCAGCCTATCAGCATGAAGCCTTCTTGTGCTTTGGAAAGAGGATGTGGTTACAGGTCAAGGCCCCAGGCCCTTGCTTTCAGTTGACAGTTACATGTCTTTGTCATAATTAAGCCACAGATAGTTTTTTCATTCCTGGCAGCTCTGACTCATTAACCTTTGTAAGTGGATCATCTCTTGTTTAGGAGTAATTTGTCATAGAGAATCTTTAGCCCTTCAAGGATTCAATAATATTCATATCTAATGTGGATGATATAACCAAACACCATGTTACTCAAAAGTATTATTTTCTGATTGCAGTTAATTTGATGAACAAATATTCTTTTTAACTACTCCCCACCGTACAAAAGTACGTCTTGTGGTCATGATGTTATTTTATTAGCTCGTAAATTCCCAGTTTCCAGGGCAACTTTATAAGGAAGAGCTGTGGAAATAATTAGGGTAAATTAGAGACAAGGTTCAGTTAATATACTGTTAATTAAGTCCTAAGTTATAGCTCAGATAGATGGTCTTTAGTGCCACACCTGTACAGTATGTAACATATTCACAGCCAAAATTCTGGGACATTAACAAAACTTTTGGGTTTTGTTTAAAATGGACAGCTGGTTTATAGGGTTGTCACGGTATGAAAATTTATCCTCACGGTTATTGTGACCAAAATTATCACGGTTTTCGGTATTATCGCGGTATTTTGTAAACGGTGTTGCATATGTTCAGAAAGCATTGATAGTCCTGTTCTACACAAACTGAAATAGTTCTGAAAAGGTTTAACAGTGTTTATTAAACCTAAAATAACACAAAGCCTTAGCAAAAGTGCAACTTTTCACAAGTAAAGGAACAAATAGCTTATGTTTCTGGAACTTGTTACAGTAGTCAGTGCAGGTTTAAATTATACAAATCCAAACATTCAAAACATAAACAATATGTAAACAAATCAAAGAAACACCACTTGTTTTCTCATATACTTGTTTTCTTCATTATCAAAATGAAAATCTAAAACTCCAGTCCACACTTGACTTGAGCACTGTACAAGTCAACCTTAAAAAATATGTTTTTAAAATAAATATCCACTTTAAACAAATTACTAAAATAACTACTACACTATGTAATCAAATCCAAATGTCCAAGTATAAATGGCATTGAATAAGTAAACAAATCCATGACAAGGAACTAATTGTATATTTCTCTTCATCAACAAATAAGATGCTTCATCCAGCAACAGGGTGTCCGTGACACGGTTTAAATGCTGGCAGAGGACGCTGCGGCTGCAGTATATAGTGACTCGTTGCATTCTCCCTCAGCCAAAAGTCCTCACGTTTAAGCTAAAATGCTAATGTTAACTTACCTTGCACTGGCTGTGGAGACGTGGGTGATCGTCACGCAGATGTGCCATGAGATTTGAAGTGTTGCTGCCTTCTGCAGACACTTGTTTCCTGCACGTTCTGCAAACGGGATAGCCGTCTTCTATTAACTGTCCCTCAGCATTTTTCAGAAATCCCAAATATGCCCATACTTCCGATTTAGTCTTCTTTGAGGGCTGATGGATGTCCTGGGCGCTGCCGTCTCCTCCTTCGGCCATTATTTCAGCTTCAAAGTTTTGGTGCCGTTGCAAATTAAAAAGTCCGTGTGCGCGCAGCGGGAACTTCAGCTGAAGCGACGGTGGCTGGTAAGGGTCATCGCGCCGAAACCGCGGCCACGGTAAACCCACCGAGATAATTTAGTTTTTTAAAAACTGGACGGTTATTTTTATTGTCAACTTTTTTACCGGGGTTTACCGCTATACCGGTTACCGTGACAACCCTACTGGTTTAAGCAAAACACTTTTTGCCTATTTAAAGTGTAAAATAACATCTCTCTCTCTCTCTCTCTCTCTGTCTCTGTCTCTGTCTCTGTCTCTGCCTCTCTCTCTGTCTCTGTCTCTGTCTCTCTCTCTGTGTGTGTGTGTGATCACAATAATCACAACTGTCACATAAATGGTTCATTTTTTGTCATCTTTACTAAGACTTTGTCCAGGTCAGGTTTCTTTCTGCCAGTAGCATCCAGTTAGTGATTTTGTCCTTTAAGCTCATTGTAAACCAGTGATGTGAACTGTGTATTTTTGTGGTGGGGCATGAGTAAGAAGATGTTCTGCTGTGTGAACAAAAAACACCCGTCTTCCTCTGCTATGCCAGTCTTAGTTTTCTCACATGACTTAGAAGTGGCATGTGGGTTCAAAAGTAAGCTAAGGCACATGGGTTTGTTTTGCTGCTGCTGCGTCTTTAACCAGCGGATGTGTGCATTTTTACCATCTGCTCTGAGGGGTAAGATACAGAGGACAACTGTCAGTCTTTCCCATCCTGCTGAGTCAGTTCCTGACACCTTCACTGCTGCCCAGTTAGCCTGAGTAGACATTGAACCAGTTTTACATTTGACCCAAACTCTTTATTTGCTGCAGCGCCATCGCATCCAGTTTCCAGCCTTAGATGGATACATAGCTTTTTGGCTTCAGCGGGTGAGCGATGCGGTGATGTCATGGAGCCGCGTGTTTTCATGTGGCTTTCTCTCGCTCCTTATTTGCTAGGGTTACTACGAGAGCAGATGAATGACAGCGGCGTGTTTGCTTTGTTGGGAATGACAGTGTTGTCTGCAGTAGGGAAGAGAGGGGGGTTTGATGTAAAGGCAGCTGTCCTTAAATGGCCCTGTGTGTGTGTGTATTGTGCAGTTTTCATGGTACAAAGGTTTGTATGCAGGTGAGGTTTTAGAACAAAAGCATATCTTTTTTTTTTACTTGTTAAAGTTTCTCTGACAAGTGAAAGCTCAGAACAGCTAATGTTGTCTAACTGAATATGAATCTGAGTTTATTTGAGGTGTAATTAATGAGGTAATTTGAGTCATGGAGGGACACGTCAACAAACACCACCAGGGAAGCCTTTTGACTCGTAAAGATCAGGAGAGGAAGACTACCCAGGTCACACATCCCATGTTTTTTTTTTACCGGGGGAAAACTCAGACTGTTACATAACATACACATCCATATCTAAAGCAGCTCTGTGTTCAGTTGGGAGCTTGCTCAGCTCCACAAAAATGTTTGCAATTATGTGATATTTGACCTGGTGAGAGACCCAGAGAAAGGCAGACCAAAAGGACAATTTAAAAAATAAGAATTTTAATGTGTATAGAGAGCTGGGTCTTTGACCGTCGTGACCAAAGGTTCTTTCTGGTTCATCTAAGTTAAACAGAGTGAGCTTGGGATTTTAGAAAGCAAAGCAACACTAGAAGAAAAAAAACTGTACATTTGATCCATGATGTAGAATAAAAAAATGGTCATCGTAAAAAACAAGGTACATTACAAAATTATTTGTCTTAACAAATGATCGAAGTTAAAAATGAATTTCAAAATAAGTAAAATACTCAGTGGACAATAAGGCCCTGTCCACACGTAGCCGGGGATCTGCCAAAACGTAGATATTTCTCTACGTTTTGGCCTGTCATCCACACGAAAACGGAGTTTTTTCACACGAAAACAGATCTTTTTAAAAACTCCGGCCAAAGTGAAGATCTGCGTTTTCTCCGTTTTGGGTGTCTGCGTGTGGACAGACAAAACCGGAGTTTTAAGGTCCGCAACGTCACTTTCCGCGACAAAAAATGCTGACATCACGTGTGCGACCTGTGTTTACACTAGCCGACAGCATGGATGCCCTCAGAGCTGCGCTCGCTTTATCAATTGTCCAAGCGCTTTTTGCTTGTTTGTTTTTGCAAGCGGAATTACTGCTCCTTGCGGAAGACCACAGACGAAGGACGAGGTTAAGAACGGGGGAAGTACTGCCGCCTACAGATCTGGCATGTCCTTAACAACGTATTTATCCGGGTACGTGTGGACAGTTTTTTTTAAACGAGGTGGTGTGGATGCAAGTTTTTGGAGGGGCGGATATTCGTTTAAAAAAAACCCGGCTACGTGTGGACTAGGCCTAAATTAGTCCAGTCACCAAACCTTAGATAACTCCCAGTATTCCTCCTCCTGCAAAGATATATTAAGAGTGAAATTTTCCTTGGAGAGGCTGTTGTCCTCCAAAAACCACCTCCGAGGCAGTCACTTCATAATATGACAGCCTCCGTCACACAGGAGGCCCCTGACGTCATCTGACTTAACGAGGGTCAGTCCACAGCCTTAAAACAACAAACGTGACGAGCAGATAGCTGACAAGTGGATCCGAGCCTAAATCGCAGTGTGACATTGTATGACGTTTGCTTATGTGAGCTTGTGCACACTCTTGGCTCTGAACCTGAAAGTTTACATGAAAAACAGCCTGGAAAGGAGTCCTGTTCTTTTTCTTCTGTCCACTGACTCCTCCCTGATTGTACCAGAAGCGCTTCTTTTTGTGTGTTGAGGATTAGAGAACATGAATTATTCAGTCTGGGCTTTGTATCCCTCTTGGTCATTGCTTGTGATAAAAGATGACTGTCTTTAGTTCTTTGTACCCCCAAGAATTTTGATGCAGCATGCTGTAATAGGAACAGTGTAGGAGGGGATCATCTTTCCTTCTTTTGAATTTTGCAATAAAACAGGTTGATTATTAAAGGAGGATATAGTATTCTTTGGATTAGCTTGTGAAAAAAGAAAATAAATCTTTCTTCAGATTATTTTGCATTTGTTTTCATATAAAAGGCACTAGTCTTTGCTTTTAGGATTCTAGCATTAGGATGTGCGAGGGGCTTAATCATGCTTTCTGTTTAAAGAAGCACTCTCTGCTTGCAGCTTTGGGTTTGCACTGAAGATTTTTATTCAGATTGACATATGTCAAATCGATGAATCAGAAGAATATTGCATCAAGTTACAAATCCCCATTTAGCCCACAAATGACTAAATCCCGGCCACTGTGTTGTTCTTCAGCTGATTTATTTTATATTTGACAAGATCACCAGTGACATTGGGTAACACACATCATTTATTGGGTTTTTGGTGATTTCCTCCTATCTGTTAGGACTTTCCTCAGCTGTCTTAATAAAAACAACAAGGCACCTGAGGCTAGATTGTTTGGTTGCATTAAAAATGAGTGAAAAGTCTAAAGATCTGACAGTGGGGCGTGTTTTGGTGTGTTAAAGCCAGATGATTGTGTCATTTTTAGACTATGTGCCAGATTCATACATCATCTGCTCCTAGGATCCCCCCTTAGCTCAGATTTACCACAGCTGGTTTGTGTTAAGAAAGGTTCACATACTCTTCACCTCCTCCACCCTCAAGACGCTCCACTTATGGGTGTTCCCTCCATTGTTGTGCTCCTTTTTGTCCATAACCTCCAGAATCGCTAGAATCTATTAGAAAAACTCACAGACCAGATCTGTGTGAAATGTAAAGAAATTCCCTTGAGAAGAAATTTTATTAGTTTTGATTTCTTTTAACATTTGTTCATGTTTTTTTTTCTCCCATTCTTTTTCCAAATATTTGTCAAGTGCAGATTGTTGGGCTGTCCATTGAAGCAATCCCACCATGCGTGAATACAAGCTAGTGGTGTTAGGCTCTGGAGGTGTGGGCAAGTCTGCTCTGGTGAGTATGTCCTCCAGGTCTTCCTTCCTGTCTGCCTGTCCTCTTTACACAGCTGCAGTAAACTTCCTACTGACTGTAGTTTGTCAATAAAACAGCAGGATATTTTGCAAACGTTTGAAGTGGTAAAAGATGGTAAAGAAACCGCAAGAGCCAGGATAAATGCAACCTTTTTATACATTTTGAACTTTTCTAGTGTTTTCTTGTGATTTATCTTAATGGGTTTTATACAAATTAGCTTAGTTGGTTTTGATCACTGGCCAAAATAGAGCATTTATGCAATGTATAAATGTGTATATGGCCCAACATGAAGGGGAATTTTAACTGTCATGCTTGATTGGAATAGATGATGAAATTGAAACTAAACTCGTAACATTACAGTATTTTTTGTGACCTCAGCATAGTTTTCAGACCCTTCATGAAGATAAAAATGTTGAATGCCCTGGTTAATGACCTTTCGCCGGGTGTCACAGTCAGGGTAATCCCTCACCTGGATTAGAACATTATCAGGTGAACCTGGTTAACCCTTTTTCTGTGTAAACCTTCCACCAAGCTCGATGCTTTACTTGGTACAGTTCAGTTAGCTTTTACGATCTCCAGCAGTCACATCTGTAACGTCTTCAGACTGGACCTTTGTCCTGGACCTCCACCCTCTTGTCTGAGATCCTACTAACCTCTCCTCGGGACACCTTTTCCAGATGTCCTGTTTATGATGAAAATTAGAGGTGGAGAGTTTCCCAGGAGGTGCAACATTTCCATATTGATCTGATTTCTTTGTGTGTCTTCTCACAGACAGTTCAGTTCGTACAGGGAATCTTCGTGGAAAAATATGACCCTACAATAGAAGACTCATACAGAAAGGTGAGTGCCTCATGAGGAGAGAAGAGACAGCGCTGCTTGCCAAGATCTAATTGATTGCAGCTGCTCTGCAGGTTCACACCACAATGATGCACTTCTGACATCTAGTTTTCGCTTCCTATATTTTTTCTTTAAAAGCCTTAAGTGTATGCTGTATTTCTGCAGGCCATGGGCCCAGTGATATAACAGTAAGCCTTATTATGTTTTAATTTTTTCTCCAACAGCAAGTGGAGGTAGATGGGCAACAGTGTATGCTTGAAATTCTCGACACAGCGGGCACAGTAAGTAAAGCTCTCACCAGTAACTTCTCCGTTAGCTCTAGCTTTGCCCAAAGTAGTACTGAGTCCATTTATTGAGTTCTCTCAGGTGTCTTGTTCGAAAAATCTTGATTTATTTTATTTTTTTAACATGTTAAAATGTTCTCTGCAGTAGTTATTATTTGGTAAAACCATTTTTTAATGATTATTTCTGATTATAGTCAGTCACTCTGGGTTTTTCATGCTGGCTGAACATGAGAATAGTCTCCTACACCCATCTCCTGCATTAACTTCTTATAGAAATAGAAGGTGAAACTCTTAAGATTTGAAAAAAAAAAGCTGACAGATCTACATCACACTGTGAATTAATGTTCATGGACTCGCCCAACTTGACTCACAACGAGGAAGCTGCCGTCTGAAGCTCAGCTGTGATGTGGGCGACGTTTAGGTTTGAGAAATGGTGCACTGGTATAGATCTCCTCCCACCATAGCATTCCTACTAGAGACCACTGCAAATTCATTGATTAAATGAGTGAACCATTCCTTTAAAATGTCATCTAAAAAATAAGAACAAGGTTCATAACGACGCTCACAGCCTCCTTTTCCCCTCTTTGCTTCAAACAGGAACAGTTCACAGCAATGAGGGACTTGTACATGAAAAACGGCCAAGGCTTCGCTCTGGTATACTCCATCACGGCACAGTCCACCTTCAATGACCTCCAAGACTTGAGAGAACAGATTCTACGAGTAAAGGACACAGAGGATGTAAGTGTTTACTGCAAGTAAACTCCATTACTTCTGTATAACTGGTCCATAAAATCATAGATGACACGAGTATTGTTGGGGGGGGGGGGGTGTCATGAAATAGCATCTGGTTTAAAAAACGCTCTTTAAGTGTCCTAAATCTGTGAGCTCAGCCTCCATTGTTGTCTAGAGACCTGTTACTAGGATACCATTCAAAACAGAAATTATACACCTTTTTTACTTTCAGCTTCGTGCCAATGCAGGAGGTGTTTTAGTGGTTGGGAACGTTGTTTATGTATTTGTGTTTTAATTAGTTCAAAAGTGTTAATGAAGATGCTTTTCATATCACCATAATCACGTGCTCGACTCCTTCATGTGCACTCATTGGCTTTGATGAGAAATGGTGAGAAATAGAAAAGGAGGATGTGTCATCTTGTTCTCTTGCTGTCAGCAGCACATTTCCATCTCTGTGTTTCTGGTCAAATCTAAGGCTGTTGCAGTCAGCAAGCCCTCCATCGCCTTTCTGGTGCAGCAGACACATCGTCAGCAGGATCCAAGATGTCCTTTTTTGGTGATCTGTGGAGGGAGAGCATGTTGCCATAACCCTCTTTCTGCTCTTCCCTTCCCTCTCTGTTTCTGTTCTCCTCAGCCCTTTAGCTAAACTCTCCATAGACTCTACTCTGTTCTCCATTTCTCTGCATCTGCAACATTAATCTTTTCAGATTAATTTTTTTAACCTTCTTTTTAGTATCCATTATGTTGTAACCCAGCTCTCCATGGTCTTCATTGTGGCCTGGCTGTGGTTTGGCATATGTTTGGGTGATTGGACTGTCAGGGATGATGTGCAACAACAGCCTCAGCTCATCAAAAGCACATTGGTCGGTCCGGCTGTGGAGCTTCATTAAGACGAGTCTCTGTGGTTTTAAAAGCTGCGGTTAGCACCAGATGGATTGCAGGATCAGTGGATTCTTGACACGCAAGGAAACTGTTCTTGTTCCTTTTCTTTTAGAAACACGTTTCCTAAGAATCTATCCTGTGATTCAACTGTTGTGCTTATCTAGCTGGCACGGCTACCCTCTGTGATGATTTAGGCCTTCAGCTGTAATAGCGGTGACATCTCCTTATCTTTCTTTACCTCCTGAAGGAATGCACGGCCAAAGGAAATGCTACGCATATTTTCTGTTAATCACGTAAATTTCTTATTTGGACATAGTTTCCAATTAGCTGTGGAGCCAAAGCTGAGTGTTTGCTGCAGCGGCTGTTCTTATTTTCAGCTCCGCCACGCACCGTTTACTTCAAAGCAGGCTAAACTTGCAGATGCATTTGTTGCATCTAGCTCAATTAAAAGAGCTTTTAACAACTGTACCTTGAACACATTTAGGTCAGATTTAATCTTGAGTCATTCAGTTCACGTGAAAAATAAAGCAAGCAGTCATTGGTATATAAAAAGCTGGCTTCCTATCCTTCCTTCCTTCCTTCCTTCCTTCCTTCCTTCCTTCTAGAGCTCTTATGTAAGAGGCCTCATGACTTTTATGGGCTCTCCTGTTCCTTCTTTCCTGTAGACCAGTGTTTAGCATGCCATCATGTGTTGGACAGCATTGTTTGTAGCATGCTAACAGCCTCTGAACAGATTTTCTGTGGGCTGTGTGGATTCTTCAAGTAGGCTAATGCTGCCTTCTGTTTTGCTGACACCAAACATTTTTCTTTCTTTGCTGCATACCTCCATTTTTCCACCCATTTCATCGTTTGTTTTAACCCAGCTTGGCTCAGAGTGTTAGGTGGGCATACTGCTGTTCTTCCCAGGACCCCTGAGAGAAATGTTGCTCAGCAGTCCAGTGTGAGGGCTTGTTTAGATATCAAACATCAAGCAGCAGCCTTTGTGGGGCTAATCTAAACATTCCAGCTTCCTGTCGCCCGTCTTTCATGGAAATCAAGACAGAGGGAGAATTAATGAGATCCATAAGGTATTTTTATTATTCGTTACACTGTGGTATGGCACCACATCCCCGTCCCAGAACAGTTCTGGATGGAGAAACCTCTGACATGAGGAAGTTGTAGCATTTTCACATGCAAACGTAAATCTTCATTCTATCAGACATTTCTGGTTTGTTTCTGAACCAGAACAAGGTACCAAAAGCAAGATGTCATGTGCATATTTTTTTTATTTTAAGCATTCCAACCACAAAATAATTTTCCTTGACTTATATTTCATTGCTGCCTGTTTAGTTAAAGGCAGAACTTTCCACTCGCTAGTTCTCCAAGTTGTGCTACAAACAGAAATATGCTACGAACCCCATCACAAACCCCAACTCTCCTGCCCTGATTTCACAGTTAGTTGTTTAAATAAATCTAGTTTTGCTATGAAAACACACAACATGCCAAATGAAAGCCGCCATGGTCTCACACTATCGTATGATTCCAGAGAGCAGCTGGAGCATGGAATCTAGCTGAAGTGTTCGAAAACATTCAGGAAGGAAGGCGATGTTATCCCTGCTGGGCGGGGCCGCCGTGACTTCCTCCAGGCCAGCATTCCCCCCAGATAGCTGGTCAGGAAACATCAGGCAGGATGAGACGCATCCCGACAAACTCTCTTGTCTGTCCACTCTGACAGCCAGAGCTCAGATCCGTCCTTAAAACGTGTGAAAGTATGAAAGAAAAGCTGGGGCTTTGGATGACTCTACGACCAGCTGCACTTTTGTTTTAGATCAGAAAGTCTTTATAAAAGAAGCAAAAGAAAAAGCAAAAACGGCTGCCAGGGTTTCCCTTACATAGGCGTAGCCATGGCGGCCCGCCACGGCTGAAATCCCACCGCCACGCCTACAAGATCCCAAGTTTTTTTGTTTTGTTTTGTTTTTGCGCTGTTTCCCGAAGAAGCAGCGGGAACTACTATGTTGTCGCTTGTGATCACAGCCGGCAGGCAGCAAGGAGGAGCAGGCAGGGCAAGGTGAAGTTACAGCATAAGTTACTGAGTTTAAAATTAGAAAGGTAGCAGTGGATATAATGCTTTGTGGTTTACATGTTTCAGCAGCATTAAGATAAACAAGTGTTGACGATCTTGACAGGGTTTCCTCCAGTGCTTATTAGGCCAGGTTCTCCTCCCCCCACCAGGCTAAGCATCACTTATTCATGTAAAATTTATTTATTTTTTTCATGTCTGACTTTAACCGCATCTAATACTGTATTACGGCGTGAGCGCGACAGCGACAACTTAAGATCGATGTGTGAGCAGCCTGAGAGGTCGGGTGTTTTCATCTGAACCCTTAAAACCTCCAGCAGGCTACGCTGCACTATTGACGTGTTAGCGCGCGGCGCTAACAACTTAGCGACGTGACATGTCTCTGAGAAAGCGTAAAAACACGTTGGACGCTTCTTCTAGAGCAGGAAAATAACACCGCTTCTTAAGCAGAGCACGACGTCGCCTCGGCTCGTTCACGGCCGAGCCGGACTGAGCTCGATAACATTGACCCAGCACAGCCACTGGGTCGTTGGAGCTGTCCCGTGACTGCCTGATGGAAAACCAGCGGGTTTCATCAGACTCGTAGTTTCTTGTTTTTGCTGGGGACCCTCTGTATTTTACTGCTCCCTCCTGCAGTCTTCCCCTATTAAAATTTAAAATGATTCTGTAAATTCCGTGTATCAATAGAAACAATCTCTGCCTCTGCCAGCTGCAGTAAATGTAGTCTCCAAATAATAAATAAGAGGTGCATTCATCTGTGTATCTCCTTTGATCCGCATTAGTGATATTCTCAGCACCAGAACAGTGAAGCAAAGAAACAGATTCCTGAGTTTGTTAGTCATTTTATTCATTAGGTGCATCTAACCTGTTCTATTTTTCTCTGAAATGAGATCAAATTAGTGCTCCTATGGGTTGTCTCCTCTCTGCACTAGAACATTTTACTTTATTTAGAGACGTGTCATAATTTCTCCCCAAGCCCCCCCCCCTCCCCCGAGTGGTAGAGTTTCCACAGCTTCTCTTTTCTTGTAAACGGGAGATTTTATTTTCTCAACATTTTCAAAATCATCTGGTGGAAACCGTGTTCAGGCAACTTAAAACTGTAAACAATAAATAAATAGACCTGGATTAGAACTGCAGCTGGATATTTTACATTTAGTGTACCACTGCTGATTCTTCCTTAGCTTTATTATCATAGATTTCCATAGGATAAAAGCAAACATTGATAATGAACGTTTTATTTTTTTATTCATCCATCCTCTTCCGCTTATCCGGAGTCGCAGGGGCAGCAGCCTAAGAAGGGAGGCCCAGACTTTCCTCTCCCCAGCCACTTGGGCCAGCTCCTTCAGGGGAATCCCAAGGCGTACCCTGGCCAGCTGAGAAACTTAGTCCCTCCAGCGTGTCCTGGATCTTCCTTTAGGTCTCCTCCCGGTTGGACATGCCCAGAAAACCTCACCAGGGAGGCGTCCAGGAGGCCTCCTAAACAGATGCCTGGACCACCTCAACTGGCTCCTCTCAATGTGGAGGAACAGCCGGTCTACTCTGAGCCCCTCCCGAATGACCAAGTTTCTCATGTATTGATTAAACAAGTGAACCACATCTTTTGAGAGAGCGGCTGTGTCACGTAAAAAGGTGTTCAGCAGCCAAAAGAAATGCAGATTTTTACGGCGCTCTATCAGATTTAACATTTTATGTTCTCGAGTTTTGACATGCTGGTTTTAAAGCAGCATGAATGGTGCTCATTTTCATTTACATCCATTGTGCTTCACCTGCAACTTCCAATTTTACAAATGCCGGTTGTTTTGTGAAGCCTGCCATTGTCATTTCCTACTGAGTTTCAGCCAGTCAGCATGAGCTAACCCCAAGTCCCACCTAGCAACTCTAACGGGTCATTTTTGAGTACGTACCCCAAGGCAGGTACTGCGTTGGTTCCTGAAATGTGCTGTGGTCCTTACAGACCAACTTGGTGACATGGGGAGATGCACATACCACGAAAATCTGGTAAAAAGTCATGGACGTTCTGACAGTGGAAACAGGCTATAAGTTGGTGTTCTTCGTCTTTATTTAAGGACCTGACTTCAGTTTGTTGAGCACTTTGGTCATAAGTAAAGACGTGGCCTGAATCCATTTAAATTATTCATAAACTGTTGTTGATTGTGCTGGACTTGAACCCTGAGCTAACCTTGAGCTAATAGTGTCATGAAATGTAAACGACCATCCAAACAACCCGCCTGAACACACAGGTGAGCAGGGTTTGTGTTTAAGGAACCTGAAACTGCTTTCAGTAAATAAGATCTCACAGCAAAAACCAGCAGCCATTGAACAGGCTGATAAGAGTTTTCTTGTAACACACGGACCTTTTCTCCTCTCCCTCAGGTGCCGATGATCCTGGTAGGGAACAAGTGTGACTTGGAAGATGAGCGTGTGGTGGGGAAGGAGCAGGGCCAGAATTTGGCCCGACAGTGGAACAACTGTGCCTTTTTAGAGTCCTCTGCTAAATCAAAGATCAATGTCCTTGATGTGAGTACACACACACACACGCGCGCACGCACGCACGCACGCACGCACACACACACACACACACACACACACACACACACACACACACACACACACACACACAAAAGAAAGGACAGGAGAAAGACAAAAATGGCCATTTACATTTATTTATAATTGTGTTGAATAGGCAAAAACTAATTTTTTCTACATGATTTAGAAGAAAATGCTGACTCTGCCAGATGGGAGCATTTCTTTATGTGAAATCCTCATTTTTGGGGAAAGTAGACTTTCCGTTATTCTTAAAATGATATGAGAGGTGCATAGATGGATGTGGTTTTGGATATTTGCCCATGTTCCAGTGTTGTATCGCCTACTGTAATCATGTTGGACTCAGTTGGAATAAAACTTTCATTCTTCAGTCCTTGGGTGGCAGATCTATAGAGGTTGTAGGTTTTTGCTTCAGGAACCATTTCAACTTAACCAGCACATCATAAATAACCATCAAATGTACAAATGGACTGGAAAGAAACCCAAATCTGTAATGTTTCCTCTACAAGAGCAGTCAGATTTTTCTCCACTGTGTTAGAAGGTGCATACGTAGACATGACTGTTTTTAGTGATGTTTCTGCAGCATTACTGTTTTTGTGATTTCCTGTGTGAAAGATAAAACCCAAAGCTCGACTCATTATGGATTCACTGAGACGTGTCAGGTGTTTAATCTTTACTCAGAATGAGTCATGATGATGATTTGGTGACTCTTCCTGCCCACTGATACAATCTGAGGTGTTGTTGAACACAAAGTGTTTCAGTGAGTTTTGTTGAGTCCTGCTGGTTTTAGGTAGGATGTGGTTTTCAGTGTTGGAGATTTGTTGCATCTTTACATTAAGGTTGGGCGATTGGATGAATTATTTGACCATCGGCGATTGGACAAGCCCTTTGCTGATCTTTTTTTTTTTTATGAGCAACATTTTTTTATGCCTATGAATTAGTCACGCAGATGGGGCATAAACAACTTCCAGTCATATTGCACATCATTTGGAGGCTGGGAGCCTTGTGATTCCAACGATATATTGCATTTTGGGGTTCAACTGTAATTGTAGATGCCGTAAACAAACCAAACCCGGAAATTCAAAGTAATGTCTAGCTCACTGATCAAAGCCTCACGTCATTGATGGAGTAGTGCTACCTCAAACAAAGAGGTCCCATCAGTTACTGGCTGATGGGTAAGAAGTGTCCCCTCCATTAATGTGTGTAGTGCGAACCAACTGCAGTGCAGTTTATGGTAGATGATGCCCCGATTAGCCAATGAAATTCAGAAAAGAAACAAGTCTTACATGGAACCCTCGTGGCCTGCTTCTGCAAAGAACAAATAAGAGCGATTCTGATTGGTGGAGCGTTCCGTGAAGTGCGTCAGATCCACAGATCATCTAATGTCGATTTTTACCTCCATGTTCACCCAACCTGACTCCACCTTTCCTGTAAATTCTGAGGATTTGGACCATGCCTCCATCACATCTTATTAAGCTTGTCAGGTTAAGTAAATTCAGATCTGCATTGACCAAAACGTGTCTTTCCCCAGGATCGGGACTTGGGAAAGTCTTTTATTTGTTTGTTTTTTCTGAGGTACAAAATGAAACTTTAAACTCTAGTTCGTTAACAACAGCTGTCTTTTCCTCTGGATGATCCCTCTGTGAACAAATCCTTTCAGTTACTGGGGTCTACGTGACGTTCTGGATGGTAAAACTGAGATGGGAGCTTCTTGTTTTGATGGTTTGTGTTTCACAGCATATTTGATGGATTGCCTCTGTGCTTCTGTCACTGTCTCTCTGTCTCAGATCTTCTATGACTTGGTCAGACAGATAAATAGGAAAACGCCAGTGGAAAAGAAAAAGGCAAAAAAGAAATCCAACTGTGTCCTGCTCTAAAGAACTCTCCTTCAGCCCCTGCAGCAGCTCTGAGCCAGGTGAGTGTGTGCATCACACCTGGGTTCTGTTTAGTCCTGACTGATGCCCAACCTTCAGACCAGAAACGTCATTCAGAGGGAACTCTTCTGAGTGCTGTGCAGCGTAGAAATGTTTTATCAACCTGTGGTCCATCAAGAAGGGTCCTGTATTTGCCCTCTGTAGTGTAAAAAGTGTTCTCTGGTTGTTTTCCTGCGGTATAACTGTTGAATAAATGTGTCATTAGCAAACTGCAGCAGTTGCTTGTGTCAGAGGAAATCCTGATCAGTCAACATAAAATTTCACTGAAGAATCAGCATCACTTTGTCTATAAAATGTTCTTTTTCACCACTTTTTTCTCAGTCTGGCAGGATGTAGGCAAATGAGGAAGTAAAAATCTGTCTGTTTATCGGTCTGCTTACTTCAGCAAGTTTTAGGGCAGCTTTGGTTTATTTTAAAAGCTTTAGATACAAAAATGAATAATTTGAGCTCTAATGAAACCCAGGTAGACTCTTACTCCAAACAAAATCATTTCAGCAGAAATTGAGAAAATGACACTAAAGACATTTACCCCAAAAACGATTCTAGCATATTGTCTGGATTGACCTGAAATGTAGAAAGTTTTAGTGGATTTCCCGTAGCTCCTCTGGATCAGGATTTGGATTGTTCTGTGTCCACAAAGGTATTCAGACACAAGCTGAGCTACCAACGGTGAGTTTGCTTTCCAGAAACTAAAAATGGAGTCAGTGTTTTGCTCAGAGAATCCCCTCAAGTTTTCATGTCCTGTTTACACTTTCAAGCCGGTGTTGCCATGCCAACACTAAACAGCTGACTAGAGGTTTCACTGCTACCATCCATCCTTCAGAGACCTAACCCACATAGTGGAAAGATATTTGTTATCAGTACCGTAAATCCTCTAATACAGGCCCGGGCCTGTATTTTACTCAAGCAGGGTATCTGCGGGTCCTTAAAAAGTCTTAAATTAGCTTTTCCAGATTTAAGGCCTTAAAAATCCTTAAAAATGACAAATAATCCTTAAATACAGTTTCCAGAGGTCTTAAATTACCAAAGACCCAATAAACAAGATTCTTTTATTGCTATAAAATTTTCGTGAATTTCTAGTGTTCAGCATTTTTTGTGTATGATGTTGGCGTAAGCGGAACCGTACATATTCAGTTGGTTGTGAAAGGGGGCTATTTTTAGATGAGCACGTTAGCTGGTTAAGCTAGTGGGAGCTTGCGCCATGGGGAAGTGGAAGTTTAATGGTAACTGGATGGCTAATCCCACGATTGCGGCGTGGTTAGCACCGGTTTCAAGCAATAGCTGGAAATTATAGGTCAAATTTAATTTTTAAAAATGATAAATGAGCCGCACTTGTATAGCGCCTGTCAGAGTAAGGACTCCAAAGCGCTTTACACTACAGTGTATCATTGATCCATTCACACACACGCATTCACACACTGATGGTCATGAGCTACGATGTAGCCACAGCTGCCCTGGGGCACACTGACAGAGGCGCCACCGGTACCTCCGACCTCCACCAGCAGGCAAGGTGGGTTAAGTGTCTTGCCCAAGGACACAACAGCAGCATTCTCTGTTCGGAGCCGAGATCGAACCTGCAACCTTCCGATTACTGGACAACCCGCTCAACCTGTTGAGCTACTGCTCCCCTGCTTAGATTTGGTCAAAGTGGCCTTCGAAAAGGTCTTAAAAAGTCTTAAATTTGGCTCCCTTAAACCTGCAGATACCCTGTCAAGCTCATCAAGCTCCAGGCCTTTATTGGAAGGAGGGCCAGAATTAGAGGCAGGCCTCAGTTTCTATTTGAGCAAAATGAACTACCAGTAGAATGAAAAAAAAAACGGGGTGTCTATTTGAACCTATAAAATACTAGTTTCATTTATTGAAAATGTACAGTTACCATAACGTGGTATGGTTTGCATATAAAACATTAACAAGGCTAAATTACAGTAGGGAAATGATGTATTGTAACAAAACAATAGCAAACATACTGTACCTGTACTGCATTTTAAACGTTATTATATACCCGTATTCGAAAAGGCAACAGCCACCTTACCGCTTCAAAGTTGAATCGTTTTGTTTGGGTTGTAGTAAAAAATAAAATAAAATCCCGCAAATTCAATTCAATCTTTGTCCAGTTTAAAGTAAAAAAATAAAATACCAGTAATCCAGTTCAGTTTAATCCTCATCCAGTTTGATGGGTCGATGCTAAAATGTTTAGCAGCTTGCTCCCCAGAGTGTTCTGCAGCATATATCAGCACGTTTTCTTTGAACTTGATATCAAATTTTTGCCTCCTCTTCAGCTCCGTGCCTGCCATGGTTAAAGTTACCCTCATAGTCTATCACTGGCAAATCAAAAGTGAGATGGATGACACAACCGCCCCCCTGTGGTACTTGCCTGTTACCACATTCCACCCGGCCACAATTAAAAAAACGGCCATTATTCACCTCCGCCGACTCCGACACCGGCCAAAATGTGATACCCGGCCGTTAACTGAATACAGGCCAATATTTGAGGATTCACGTTATGTTCGTCATCAGAATCTGTATCTGTCAGGTTGAAGTCTCACGCTGGCTGGTCTGTTGGACCAACACCAACAGGATTTTAGCTTTATTTTTCACAACACATCAGCTCTCAGACTGAAAGAGATGGAGAGGAAACGGTCCAGACTCGGACAGGAACCACAGATTGTTAATGAAACATTAACAAGATGAAAAATAAACCGTAATTGAGAAACACACCCTAATTTCTCTTGACTAAGAAGACAAAATGAGCAAAACAATACATTTTCTAAAAGACTGAATGAACTGTCACATTTTAGTGAAAACATGTAATTTGAAAAGGTTCTTAGTTTTAGTTGTTTTCCGGAGATTATATTGATGTTCAAGTGTGATCCTGACCCCAACTTTAGCATCCACAAGGTGGATGTAATGTCCCATAATGGCCACGAGAGGGCGACGTACACAAGTCTCACTTTTAGCACATTGATGATAAATGTTGTGTTTCAGAAATGCTGTAATGAAGAACTGTTGCCCTGATTGGAACGTGCCAGCATTCCAAGAGCCCCGCCCCCTCCCCCATCAGCCATAAAAGGTGAATCAGCTGACTGAACTGCTCCCATCAAAGCTGAGGACGACCTACAAGAGAGAGCTACAGACAGTACGAGAGAGGGAGAGAGAGAGAGAAAGAAGACTCTTTTTCTCTCACCTCTGAGGACCTTCCTCTGCATCTCATCATCGGTGTGAAACTTGAATGGACAGTCTCCACTTCTGCACCAACAAACAGAACCACAAACTGATGTAAAAATTCAGCAAAAGCCTCTGAAAGTTAAAAAAAAAAGAGCAGCCCTGTATTTTCTTTTTTTTTCTTTTTCCACTGTTTAATGAAAATAACATTTAAGAAGGAACGCATGGTTAGACTTTAAATTCAGTATTTTTCATCCTTTTCAATATGAATATTGTATTTGAAAGACATGGAAGTTGACCTCTTTAGTTGTATGATTATAAATATTCTTCTGCAACAAGCATGAAAAAAATGCATCAGTTATCACGTGTTGATGTTTTCAAGTGAAATCAAGTGGAAAGTGAGAATTCTTTTATAGCCATACACCTACTGTCCATGCCTGTCATGTCAGTGATGATAGATTCAAGGTCCATCATGTATTATTATTTTATTCTGTTTTTCTTTGTCTGCCCTGTTGTTCATGGACTTCTCTTCTGCAGATATTTCTCTCTAATGTGACTTAATTTTATACTCTGTCACTGGGGTTTCATAGCTCCCATAATATATTCTGCCATTTTTTTTGCATATTAATGCTTCAGAAAAATGGGTCTTTTATAGAAGAAATATGGGGAAAAAATAAGAATTGATTTCTATGTCTCTTGAAGCTGAAATATATTATACTAAACCAACTCTTACTGCTTCTTGTGTTTTTCTGTTAATGATGTTCCAGCTTTTATGAATTATTAAAGTACATTTTAGTACATTTTCTTTATAACGGTCAATGTATTTTTGTGAATTAAAGTTTTATTCAAAGTTGATTTGTTTTATTTGAAAGAAGTGAGTCAGTTTTTGGAAAAAAAAAAAAAAATTAATGGCAAGAAACAAATAAGCCGTTTTAGTGTTACTCTGTTTGGCCACTAGGTGTCAGTAACTGAATAGACATCTTTCTGGCTGGGCCTCAGGGAGCTAACTACATAACTCATTGGGGACAGTTGGTCAGAGTACCTCAAACCTGAACATTTATATTCACCCTCAAAATTATTGATACAAGAAATTCACCTTTGTGGCGTAAAGTTTTTTTTATTGTATTTTACAGTTGTAAAAGGTAAAGACTACAGGTCATGTAAGTAAACTAACTTATAAATCAGCAACATATCTTGATTTAAACCCGTTTCTAAAATTCAAACCAGTTTTTAAAAGCAGGAGATGCAAATTGGCCAACCAGGTGTGTTCTCCATTTCATTCTATTCCGTTTGTATAGCGCCGAATCACAACAGGAGTCGTCTCAAGGCACTTCACAAAGTAAAACATTCCAATTAAGTTCATTTCATTATGCCAATTTGTTAAAAGTGTCCTATTTAAGGAACCCAACAGATTGCATTGAGTCACTGATTAGTATCAGAGACTTTACAGCAATCTCCAGACTAAAGTAGCATGTAGCGATAGTGGAGAGGAAAACTCCTTTTTAACAGGGAGGATGCTGGATCAGAATGAGCAGCCATCCGCCATAACTCACTGGGTATTGTGAAAACAGAGCAGACACGCACATGCACACAAACAGCATTTATACCAAATAGTGTTTTAATGGCCACATTTTCTCCATGTCTAGTACAATGACGTCACTTTTGTGAAGCTCGTTTGTAGTCCTGGACTTATTTTCACACAAATCCTAAAATAGAGTTTCCCCCCATTCGAAAATAAGAGCCTTCCTGGTATCAAAATGCGTCTTTAAAAATCACAGACATCATATGTGGAATCCACAACAAACGGAGTTAGAAAATAGCATTTTTAGCCTCATTGACTTGCATTCATTTTTTCGTTCTACATGGCTCCCTATTCTATTCAGTAAGAGATAAACTTTATTGTCTTTATCTGAGTTATTCTATAATGAATTCAACAGATGAACTAGCGGTTGCACATTCTATGTTAAAGACATAAAATTTTATCAGCAGAGGGCGAATGTCTTGATGTGTTAATACAGAAATATACAAGGGAAAAATATAAGCAAGTTTTAAAATTGAACTTTTGATGTGCTACATGGTTACTATGACCATCAACAGTAAAGTAAGCTTTACGTGTTAAAAATGTTAACAGATTTGCTCCTCCAGCAGCAGCTCTCTTGCACTTGAGAAGTCATTCTCTGCTAATTTCTCCATTTGTGACATCACAAGCAGGGACTTTTTGAAACGGCTTGTTTCGGAACATAATTCCTAAAACCAAAACACTGACATGAATGAATGTTTTTTTTTCTTGATTGGAGTTATAGAGGCAGTAGAGATCCACGTGGCTGTACAAAAGTATCCAAAAGGTAAGTTTTGAAAACAAAATTTTTGAAAATCTAACCAGTTTTTAAAGGCAGAAGATACCAACTGACTTGTCAACTGATCTGTCATCCAGATGCAAACAAAAAAACCATGTGCACATACGTGTCCTCTGCATATTTAAACAGAAAAATACAGGTAAAAGAAACATGTCAGCTTTGGTGTGCTGCATGATTATTTTGACCACTTTAACAGCAAAATAAATTTTATTTATTAAATATTTCATTTTTCAGATGGTTTAGATTCAGAGTTAAACTTTTATCTGGTATCTTGAGCACGTTTCAGCAGAAACTATCACTTTCTAAAATTATACAACCTATTTTAAAAATGTGTTGCTCCTTATCCTTCAGATTACTGATGCCTTCTCAGATACTTTCATTTCTGCTCTAATGACCCTCCAATCCACCAGGAGTGCTGGAATTTAAACACTGCGTCATCCAAGCTTCTTACTTTCCTGATGAGGACGGTTGCGTCAAGTGGAGGAGGATGCCAGAAGATTAAACGGTGTGACTCACTTTTTCTTCTTGTTTTTGCCTTTTCTCACTAACGCTGCAGCTTTGATCAGTCCCCTAATCCCTTTTGGTGGGCGAGAAGCAGAGTAATATTTAAAAAAATCCTGTGAAATAATCCCTTCTCACCCCCTCTTGGTTTCTCCTTGGAAACGCAGGTAGGAGGGTTAGTGCCAGGTGGGTGTTTCAATAATTGGATCTGTGATTAACTTCATAAATGCTGCAAATATTAGTCTAAAACTTATTTTATTCAACCCAGGCCTCCCAATTACAAAAAAAGAGAACTTCAGTTTTTGATTTGCTGAGGACAAACTTGAAATTTAGATTGAATTACAAGAAAGGTAGATCTTTTGCATAAAACCCAAAGAATCAAAGATTTTGTAGCTTATGACATCACACCTTTTAGGATTTATCTGCACAATAGGAGCTAATTGAATACTATAAAGTGGAACTGGTTATTTCTTAAAGATGGAGCCCAACAACCCAGAGAACGCTCGTGTTCTGTGAACCCATCAGAAGAGATGTGATGTTAATTCAATAATATGCACCCTGTAACCCCCTGCACACACACAGACTTCACCTTTCTCCTGCCAGACCAATTAACAGATTGGAGCTTGTGCGGAGGAGATAGAGTGGAGTCGGATATGTCTAATGTGTTTGCTGGAGAGGGAGTGAACATAATCCCAGCTGTCAGGGGGATATTGACAGCGTGGAGTGCAAGGTTACGCCTACCCTTTGAGGATTCATCCTGGGCCTTTTCCTGTCGTTAATTTATTTATTTTGATGATGCATGCTGATGCTGTATTGATCTTTGTCTAACTCTGTAGCACTTCCTAAAGAGAGGTTTGAGTGTTTTTCCAGCTCCGAATCCTCAGCTGCATACTAATCTATCACAACATTTAGTTGGATTCGTGCTTTCTCTCATGAAATTTAAACTATTTTAAAAATCTTATCAGTTGATAGCTTACTGAAGGTCCTCTGTTCAAAGACATAGATTTAAAGTAACACAGCAGTTTCCTGCTCCTCAGCCCTACTGTTTGAAGGTGGTATTACAACTGTTGTAGACAACCCTGCTGCAGCCTGCTATAGCTAGCGCTAACAACAAGCTAACACTAACATGAGCAAACTAATGCTAAAATAAACCACAAAGTAAAAAGATTCACACTGTTGGAAAATAATATTATTACTTAAAAGTTCAGTAACAACAAAGCCAGGTCACCATCAGCCTTTGATTTCATAGTCTCCTTTAGCTCCCTCAAACTTGTGTAGGCCGCACCGATGTTCAGGCTCCTCATGATGCTAACAGAAAAGGCAAATTTATTCAATTTCTTCTTCTTGTGCATTTTATTGACAATCAGCTAACTGAAAATGTTCACAGCTAGCATTACAGCTAACATCCGCTAGGCAGGTAAAGAGTGCCCCCTAGGACACCCACCCGCTCCACAAATGATCTAGTGTGATTTTTGCTTAGAGGGTGGCAGAATGGTGCCAAATATGAAACTGGTCAGGTTTATAACTCAACAGTGATTGAGTTCAATGTAAAGCTCTAGCTTAAAGTAAAAAAATGGCTATTCAGTGTTACTTTAACTTCCTATGGGACTGACAAGCTAATGGCTAGTCCAGGGATCTGCAACAAGTGGCTCTATGGACCTTTCACAATGGCTCTTAATAAGTTTGGCTAAAAGAACTCTCTTGTTTTTTTAAACTAGATCAAATCTAAAAAAATGCAGATATATTAAGCAGCTTTAGGTTTATTTCATGGAATAATTTTATTGAATTTAAGAGTTGCAGCTCAACAAGTTTTATTACAGTGGACTGAGGGAGAAAACATCTCTTTGGACTGTAAAGGATTGAGCCCTCTGGTTTAGTCAGAGCTCTGTGAAGACAAACCTCTTAAAAGCAGCTAAAACTTTTTTTAATTTACAGCAGTTTACACAAGTTATTAACTAAACTTTCACACTTCTGTCAATTATGCTTTTTGTGGTTATTTCTGCAAACATTCATGACAGACTTGATCCCTGGATGCACAGAGCTACATTTAGCTGCTGCTAGTGATATTCACGCTCGTAAATACCTGTGTAATAGATCATTGATGGTGATGTAAACACACATAAATTAATTTTGCATATATTGTTGTGAGTTTTGGAGATTTGAGCTGTTTTATGACAGTTTTATGAAAGTCCACTTTGCTCTTTGCTCAAAACAGATTAGCTGTTAGCTCACCAAAAGCTATTTCTCTGAACAGAGGCCGTTCATAAAACCATCTAAGATAGTAATTATTTTTAACTTTCACACATTAAAATGATTTAAAACTAACAGATATTTTTCGATCATTGCTACAGCTTTCCTTGACCTTATGGACATTTTCTCTGCTTTACGGTTTACATAGTTTATCTTCACTAAATGCCACCTGTGTTTGCAGGCAGCCACTGCAACATAGACTGTTTATTTATTTGCCATTTATGGGTTCTGCCTGTTTTGCCAGAGGAGTCTCAAATCTTGAGAGTCGATCCACTCGAGGTGTTGAAACCTTCAGGTAGAGCTGTCTCTGTTTGGCTCTGTGAAAACAACCTAACTTCCCTGCTACCCTGCAGACTGCCAGCTAATATTACAGGAAATATAAGATTAAAGTTGCATTATCATTAAGTCATGCACCATATTCTGAAGAAAAATACTTTTAGCATCTAAACTTTGCAAATAAATACAAAGTGCACAAGAAAATAGGTATTCTATTAGATTACTGCCAAACATAAATCATGTCAGCAGCTTTAAGAGATCCTTTGTTTTGTCTGCGACCCGCCGACCTCTGTGAAGTCAGTGACAATACATTTATCTTTGCTGGAGAACATCCATCAAAAA